GCAGCAGAGGAAGCTGCGAGGCCCAGTGCGAGAGAATCGCCAAGGATTTCTGTGGCGATAGAAATCCTGGAGACAGAAGACGACACGTCTTCGGAGGAGGAGGAAGTGCAGTCGGTGCGAGATACACCGACCGGAGTGCTCTGCGAGCAAGTGGTACCGCTACTCCGGTACCTTGATCGCAAGGCGACCAAGTACGGGAATCCCTGCTAGTGTGGATTCTATGTTGAGTTGGTCTGAAATCAAACTCGGATCAAGGTGGCGACGAATCTCAAATTGATGGTATTGGACCAGAAGTATCGGCAGTTGGAGGAGCGCTACAATTTCCTGCAGGATCAATGTGCCTTATCGCAGAAACTGCAGAAGACGGCGATTTAGTTGCGAGATGAGATAGTGAGCAATGCGCAGCGCGAAATTGATGAGTTGTGTGCGAAGGTCCAGACGGATGTAAGTGCCGAGCAGGTTCAAAACCGCATTTTGGCGGAGGAGCTTGTGTGACAGACGCGGGCGTTAGAGCAGAGTGAGACCGCGAGGAGGGCAGACGAGGAGTTACTGGGTCGATTGCAATTGCAGTGCGACAAATTGAGGACGTAGCGGGCGGCGGCAGAGTTACAGTTGGCAGAGGTTGAAGGCCACAACCGGCGCGCGACAAATCGCACGCGAGAGGAGTAAGTTTCGCGGGTTGATCGATGTCTGAGAGGTTATGCTCGCTGGGAGATCGCAGCGCGGGAGAGTATGACGTTGCGCGAACTTGAGATGCGTGCGATAGCTTTGATGACTGGCGACTGACGAAGTCGGCGGCGCGTGACGAAGCAGTTGGAGTCATTCTTGTCCAGGTCGCGGGACACCATTGTGAACCTTGAGGCAAAGGTGACCGAGGTGTTGCGGCGGCTCGGACTACGTTGGAGAGCAGACGAGTGGACGGGTAGGGAATTAGTGGATCGTCGGCCAGCTCATTTGAGGCATAGCCGATGAGATAGAGTGTTAGGTAGTTAGGATTTTAGAGTGTATAAAGCAGTCCAAGGCGTTGGCCTTAGAGGATTTTTGAGTTTCGGAAGTTCAGTTCAAGAAATCGTTTCCTCCGCGCGTTTGTGTCTTTTGCTCTGTCACCGCGCAAGAGGAGTTATAGATTGTTGAAGTTACCGCAGCCTACAGCCGAAGGTCTTCGTCCGAGCGTTCTGAGCTAGCGTAGTCTAGTTAGGATCTAAGCAAGTTCGGGCTTACACCTCCAAACGATTTTCCCTGTTTATATTCCTTTGGGATTTTCCCCCCTGAATATCAAAGTGAAGTTTTGTTAACTTCGCAGTGAGAGTTGGTTGAATTCAGGTTGAGTGTGTTACGCTGCTTCAGGCGCCTTTGGGGGTAGCTTTTGTAGTATTTCTGGGAATGACAGTTGCGTGAGAATTCAAACTCGTCAATAGACTGTTAAGTTGTAACATTGGGTCTTTTCTCAATTGAATTTCTCAGTTCGGATTTATGTATTGCCTGCGCGTTTTGTGAGTTGAGTGTGTTGTTCACCGCGTGAAAGAGACTTCGGTTTGACGAAGGTACCGCATCCAAAGTAGGACTTCCAACCCGAATGCTCTGCACTAGCAGTGGCCTGTGATAGGGTTTAAGCAAATTCGGAGTTGGTAGCCACCTGCAGTTCCTCTAAGTGTACTTTTGGGAAACTTCACCCTTGAATCTGAAGTGGAGGTCCTGACCGACCTCTGAGTTGTGCATTTACAGTTTCAGGTGTGTGTTTGGGGTGTACTACGTTGCATTATGTGTCCCTTGAGTGACCTTCGAGTTGAGCACTTGCAGTATTTCAGAGAGTGACAGTACCCTGAGAATTCAAACTCTTCCAGGGAGTGACAGTCGCCTGAGAATTCAAACTCCTCAATAGACTGTTAAAACGTGACACTTTGTACTCTGTGTGTTGTTACTGTTGCTGTGGGTTCGATCCTTTGCTGTTATACTGCAATTTAGCCTTGGGTGGGCCATCACAAGAATATTGTGCCGACTTGGTACACAATATTCATATTTTCCTTGAAGGAACCTGTCCGAGGAAGTAGCGAGCATTTGGCTTTCAAGTTAGATGAACTAGTCCCTCGATTAAACAAGTCCTTGGCGAAACCCTCTAGGTCGGGGCCTAAGGGAAATGTTGACGAGCGATGTCATTCCACTAGAAACATGTGTAAAATCTAGCTGCAAGTGGCTTCATCAATTGATTTATGACAATCAATCGATGAAAGAAGTAGAATAGCAACTCAAGTTAGTAGTATTATTGGCGTGAAGTCAGCGTACACAATCAGGGACGCAAAACCCGACTGCGAAGTCCTCCTTTGAAGTCCGGTAAGAACTCAAGATATCATGTTCTCGTGTCATCTTCGATTTCATCATTAAGATTTCGATCCAGTTCCTCCCGAGAAAAATGCTCTCATCTCCGGAACAACCTGAATATATATTCAGGTTGCTCCTCAATAGATGTCGCTAAACTAAAGTGAGTGAATACTCCGACATATCTAACTATTAAGCGCTGCAGTGACGGATATGTTGAACCCTACCGTTCATATGTTTAAAATCCTAGAACAGATCAAAACTGCAGTGTAAAGATCGCCGAGGGTACTGTTGTGAACCTACCTAGATGTCGAGGCTAATTCACCTCCATCACATTTTCAAACGTCAACATTGAAGCAGAAATTCAATGATGAGCGTTTCCAGAATTCACTCGTTCACAGAGCTTTCTGATTCTCCGTGGTTGAGTCAATGTGCACAATTGGCAATTGAAGTTCTCTGTGACTTGCGTGTAGTGAGAGGTGTCGTAGGATGCCATTGCAGACAAGTTGAAGATCTGCACGTAAGGTGATAATGCTTCTTCTTGAGCTTAAATTGCAGGAAGTCACCCATCACTCACCCATCACCACTTACTGTAGCAATTCATCGACATTGATTTGATTGTAGACATGGGCACGAGCCTTTCGATTTCAAGAAAGGGTGAATCTAGACTGCCATAACCGGACAAAAGCATCGAAAATAATTTAGACAAAGAGGAAAAAATCCATCGTTTGGAAAGACCAGACGAACGAGAAAAAGGCTGACATCGAGCTTCTAGATAGCCTTAGGAAAAAGAAGTAAACCAGGCAAAATTCGAAACTCCGCCAATTCTCTCATAGCCGCGAGAGGACAATAAAAACCCTGGCCCATACAAATGCCCCCGCAATCGTAAGTCATCAACTTCAATGCAGAAATCATTCGACAAATCGCCACCTCCGAGCTAACCTGATCCGCCATCGCCAATCCGAGGGTGAGTCACAAGAAATGCTAGACAAAAAGGCCGTCCGGGCGCGTCTTGTGCGGGAAGCGCGAAACGCGAAACCCCGGGTGACGGTGAAACCCACTGGGTGACGGTAACAGACGACCAGTGTACGTATACCGTCAGGCCGGAGAGCATACAGTCGGGGTTGTTCTAGCGAGAAGCCCAGAAATGTCATTTTCGTGGGAAGGTTGAAGATCGACGGTCAGTGGCGGTTTTGGATTTATGGCAATCATGCTGATTATGGCTCGCCCCTCACACGATTCGCTTCTTTAGCTTTGTGTGTTCTTTCGGTGCGATTTTGCGGGGGCGCTTCTTCGGTGAGTTCAAAGATTTTCCCGTATAACTTACCGAGACGGTCGTGTCGGTCGGCGTCCATTCTTCGAACTACAACTGGCCGTGTCATGTCAGCGGCGAATTTCTTCCTGAGGCTGGCTCCGAGGAATCCAACGTGTTCTGGCACTGCTTCTCTCCATCTCCTTAGCCTCTCGAGAGATTTGTTCCTCATGCTTGCTTTGTTGTCCCTTCTCGACTGCAAGCGACATATTCAACGCTTCTTCTCTCCTGGATAAGTCAGAGTATGATCATGGGCTCTGTAACGGAAATCAAGTACTGAAGAGCCTTCACACCACCGATTTATTCGAGTCAAATGTGATGGTTGAATTCACATGATACTAACGCATTAACACAGTGTGTTTACATACCGCCTTCTGAATCTTTATATCAAGCAATGTTGATTTGATTAATTTTGCATAGGAGGGTCGCTTTATTTCAGAAACAACCGCTTGTGTATTCTTGTAGTGCTCTGACGGTTGTACTACTAAACCTGGTTAGTCTCTACGGTCCAATTACATTAAAACACACGCTAAATATATACAACTCTGCTAAAAGCAATACTCCAAATTTCTAAACAAGATTTATGACCTCCCTGGTTTCCCTTATTGTGTTCTTTATGATTTCGTATATGGGAAACACAAGATGCCCTCAATAAATATCAGGCGAAAACTGAGGAGGTGCATAAGAAGACACATCTACTAAACATGTGTTGATATGACTTGTTTCGTATCTGGGAAATACAAAATGCCCTCAATAAATATCAGGCCAAAACTGAGGAGGTGCATATGAAGACACATCTACTAAAAAATCAAAACCTCTTATAAACTTTCCAGCTACATCAAGCGTTCCACGGGGAGCACTACCAGTCGAAGAAAATGCCACTCTGACTGGGAAATAGGTGAGGTGAAGGAGCAGTCGGAAGGCATCGTCTGCCTCACCACTTCACAAAAAACACGAAGGCGAAGTAATGTCGAGATTCCATCACTTCCTAGACACGACAGGGATCAATATTGTATACGTATATTTTTTTTGTAAATGTGACGGTTGTCGTTTTCTACACAATGCAAATTGGCTCATATATTATACATGTTTGTTGTACGGCGGAAATTTCTTCAAGCGATGAAGCAACATTCATATTATTCTGTCTATAAAGATCCATCTTAAAAACTGCTTACTATAAACCTTTCTACTCTTCTTTTGTGAGACAGTTCTGATATATATAGACAACCGCTTACAAACACCTGTACTACTCTTCTACTCTTGCCAAAATACTCAGTTGTGAAATTTCAGGCATGGAATATTTCGTGAAAATGTAAATAATTTGCACAAGTTGAGAATATCAGATTACCACAAACAGTGAGAAAACTAACTCAAATGAAGATTTTCATCCGAAAGAAATTCCAGATCTACCCATAGTCTAGTAGTCTTTCCAAACGGTATCTGTGGGGTTAAAGCTAGTTGTTTATATCCTAGATGGTTCTAAGGGCTCAACTAGGACTTACATGTGACTTTGTTGGAATCCATAGCACCATGGGTGGAAACTCAAGTCGAAAGGCTACGCACGTGATGTAATTACAGGGCACATTATTCTTCCACTCGGTGAAAAGTCCCAATCTCGTGGGATAAAAAAAAATTGCTCTCTCGACATCTAAATAAATAAATAAATAAATAATAATTTATTTATTTACTTATTACGTTGTTATTACGTTGTGTATTTCACGTTAGAACGGTTTACAGCAGTCACTGACATGTCCAACATCCACGAAATCATGGAACTGTTTTTTCAACGCTCCAAAAGGAACGATGCTGTGTCGTAGAAAGTCGTCTACGTATGGGAGTCCAATTATTTAATTCACGTTGACAGAGGACGCTGTCCTGACCTTCCAGTCGTCTCTGGCCGGTAAGACCCTCCTGACGTCCCTCTCGATGTGATCTCAATGGCCGGTAGAACCAGCTGCCAGTGTACAGTATTTCATCGGTACCGTACTCGCAGTACAGAAGCGTACAGTCTCGGACAGTGCGATACGATACGATACGAGTCCACGATTCCCATGCATCCGTAGACTAGCGCTCGAGTGCCGGTGTCTCGGGGTACCCTTCCAGCCCTCCAGCGTGTCAGTGCCAGGTGGAGATCGACGACATGTCAGGGCAAGAAAGGTCAAGGGAGAAAGAGAGAGATTGAGAGAGAATCGCTGAGCGGAAGAAAAGAGTTCGAGTTGTCGTGGACGTGATGATGCTCGGGCAGCGGGCAGCGGGAAAGGGGCAGCACTCGAACCCCGTGTTCGTGTTCCGAATGGGCTTTATCGAGTATCTATCGACATGCAGTTCGAGGTTGTCAGGGGGTGTGTATGCGCCGTTATCAGCCGCCGCTGCTCGTACCCGTGATGAGGGACGAAATCTTTCTTTCTCGCAAGCATGTTCACGACGATGGGCACCGCCCCCCCGGGCCTTCACGGGCTGCTACGGCCTCTGGGGATCGAGGCATGGTAGGTTCTGACAGCTTTGATCCAGACAAACGGCCGGCCCCCGGCCCCCTACCCCCGCCCTCGCTCTCGCCCCGACCTCACCTCGAAATCCCGGCAGTGATTCGCTGCGATCGTCGAAGCACTCGTCGATCTCCTTCCCTGCAGTTAAAAAAAAATGAATCGATCGTTCGCCTCTAGACTCGAGCGCTTTACGACCTCTCACTGGTCACGCATGGACGTGCGCCTTCGCGGAAGCAGTTTCTCTTCCTCGAGTCTCCGGAGTCCAGTCTCGAAAATTGAAAATTCGACCTCACCGATCGCCGATCATGGAGTCAAAATCGAAATCGAAATCGAGCTTTGCCTCGTGCAGGGAGCTCGGCTCACATCCTCGCTAGTCGCGAACGCTCCTTGGGTCTTCGCAGGGCGAGGGGGCATGTCAGGGACAAGACGATCCGATGAAGAAGAATCTTCGAGTGACGCACTTAGGGGGTGGGGGAGAGCGGGGGAGCGATGGAGCGACGATCAAGCCTCTGCGCGAGCGCCTCGCAGAAACTGGAGCCGCCGCCTGCTGCTGCTGTTGGAGCTGAGGCCCGGATAGTGCGGGAGCGACTGCGAGAATTGGGCGAAAGCGCCGAAGAAGCGCGCCTTGAGGGCGCGCATGACGGATCGGAGCAGCGTGGCGTCGTCCTTGAGGAACTCGTTGTAGGCCCAGACGCAGTAGCGGCGGCGCTCCTCCACCTCGCCGTGCGACAGCGCCCGCAGCGCCGGCACGATTCGGTGCATCTCGCCGGTGGGGAACTGCAGCGCGCACCGGTGCCACTGGATCAGCGTCTCGAAGGGCTTGACGGCGTTGTCGACGATGAGCACCGGGATGGCGCCGGCGCTCATGGACTCGATCAGGCGGTAGGACGAGGCGGAGCGCCCGGCCGGCGCCAGCGAGAAGGTCGTGTTCATGAGGTCGAAGAAGCCGTAGCGCTCGTAGAGCTCCTGGTCCTCGTCGCAGCCGCGCCCGAGTTCGGGATTCTCGCGGCGCATAATGTCGTTCGTCCCCTGCTTGCAGCTCGTGACCACCACGACGTCGCGGCCATTGTGCATGGCCTTGAACGAGGGGTCGCTCCGGAACACGCCCTCGCCGGCGAGCCCCAGATAGCGCGTCCCGCGGAAGGTCAGCAGGTACTTGCGCTGGAACGCAGTGAGGTTCTGCAGGTACGTGGCGTGCGCCCGGCCCTCGAGTGGCACGCCGAGGTCGAAGCCCGGTCGGTACGTGGTCTCGTATAGCGCCGTGCTGATGACGGACGCGTTCTCGATGGTCTCGGGCGGGGGATTGCGCTGCTGCCAGAGGTCCGCGAAAGTGACGAGCATGTGGTTCATGCCGTGGTTCCAATGCGGCAGCGTGTTCGGGTGCGGGCGCCACGGCTCGTTCACGTCCTGGAACACGAGGAAGAGGCAGGCCTTGTCGGGGTCCGCCGTGTGGTACGGGGTCTGCTCGATGCCCTTGAAGTATCGATTCGGCGGCATGGGCTTGTCGTACGAGTACACCAGCAGCTTGTCCATGTTCTCGCAGCGCGAGAAGTTGAAGCACACGTCCATCGAGCACAGCGGGAAGCGCCCCGGGTTGTGCCAGGGCCTGCCCTCCGCCCACCACTGCTTCACGCCCACGTACCTCTCCACCGGCACCCGCACCACCTTCTCCACCGTCACGTTCACAATCCTCTCCACTGGCACCTCGATCCTCTTCTCCACCACCTTCTCCACCGTCACGTTCACGATCCTCTCGACAGGCACCTCGACTCGCTTCTCCACCTCCACCGTCACATTCACGATCCTCTCCACTGGCACCTCGATCCTCTTCTCCACCTCCACCGTCACATTCACGATCTTCTCCACAGGCACTTCGACCCTCTTCTCAACCTCCACCGTCACGTTCACGATCCTCTCGACCGGCACCTCGACCAGCTTCTCCACCTCCACCGTCACGTTCACGATCCGGTCCACGAACTTCACAGTCTGCTCGCCCTCGCACGGTCGCCTGGCACCGTCGGCGTCGAGGAGATCTCCGTGCCCGGTCGAGCAATTGCACGATGCGCTGCTGCTGGTGTTACTCGTCGCGGATCGGAGGTACTCGGGTAGTTGGAAAGTCGTGGGGAAGTGCTCGAAATTCACGTAGCTCAGCACGAGGACGAAGGCGAAGGTCAGAAGGATGAGGAACGGGACTCGCAACGAAGTCCCCCGCTTGGCTCCCATCTTCTCCCTCCTTCCCACTCACCCGCACGCACGCAGAATTTTCAATTAGCAGGCTGCCACCGAACTCCAGCGGCACCGACTTCCGTCTCCCGCGAGCATCATCATCACCAGCAGCATCATGAGCTGCACTTCATGTCTGGATCTCTCGGGGCCAAGATGGGCACGTCTCGTCGCTGTCCACCAGCAAATGCAATAATTCCCCTCCGGCAGCACCTTCCCTTCCTTACATTCTCCACGGGAGGACGAGGACAGCGATTTCAAGCAGAGTCCGAATTCTTGCCGGTCGTGGAAGCGCCGGTTTCCAGTTCCGATCTATTATCTGTCTACCATTCCGCGTTATCGAACCTCGCGAATCGTCGTCATCATTCTTCCCACTGAGGGAGGGGACGGGGAGAGGCAGTGGAGGCCCAACTTGCCGCTAGAGCTCGCACCGGAATTTCGATGGGCTTCTCGCATCCGGCCCCTAAATCTCTCCTGGATGCTCGGGCAAGAGGCCGAGCTCGTAACAGAATGTCGCCGGGGGGAGGATTCGAAAGAATGACCCTTTGTAAGCCTCGGCCGACTGACCGACTGCTGGAAGAAAGACGCGAGGCGAGGAGCTGCGTGCGGGTTTCGGATCTTGACGTCGCGAGTCAAAGGGACGTCGCTCGCCGCACGTCGTCGACCCGCGAGCCCGACGTTGCTCTGGGGTCTCGCGGGGCGCTCGTGCAGTCATCGTGCTCCGCACCGCGTGCCCCGTCGCCGGCCGATCCGGAAGCCCGCGATGGAGCTGGGACTGGGACAGGTTTAGCGAATCGGCATCCTTCGAGACGAGACGGGACTCGCTTTCGCCCGAGCCTCGTCGACTGAATCCCATCGACAGGATTCATAATGATGGTGCTCGTTTTGGGGCTCTTGTCCGCGAGACGAGCACTCGTGAGGGGAATCTAATCTGGGCAGAATCGGAGTCCGTGAAAGATTCCGCAACTTGGACCTCGAGATTTAAAGGACTTTTGTGAATCCAGGGGGTTTATTCGCGGTCACCCTTCGTTTGGGTGAAGATGGGCGAGCTTCGGTCATGGACAATCATCGACAGGACGATCGTCAGCGGCGACTTGAGATGTGCCAATTGGACGGAACGCGGTCGAGGATTTATCGTGCGCTCGTCATGTCGAACTCGGGCGCTGGAGTTGGGACGAGAGTGGGCGCGGACGTGGGACTCTCGATTCCACTGATCGACGATGAGGCTCGTCAGACGGCTGAAGCTTCTGTTGTGCGGTGCGCTCTCCCTCTCCTCCTCCTCCTCCTCCTGGGGATTCGAACCATCGATCCACAAGATTGTCACGTTTCTGCGCACGTAATTCGCGTTCCCTTCATCATCGACGACGACGACTACAGACTGTGCGGAATTTACGCGGTTCATGTCGCAGTCATCGGCGTCGACCGAAAGCTTCGAGCGCAGTACGGCCGCTCTCGCAGCCTCTTGCAAAATCCGCTCGAGTTTCGTTCACGCAGTCGAGGTCACGTCAAGTCCCATGCAAGGCCCAAAATGATCGACGAGCGATTAATCATTATAATAATCACAATTAATATAATACAATAATGGCAAGGAATCCGGAGGTTTCGACGAATTCGACCTCGGAAGCAGTACGCGCTCGGGAAGTCGCGCATCGACACGATGCTCGTGGCCCGTAAGCGTCTTGCGATATGCGCCGGTGGCGATTCAGAGTGGCAGTGGGAGATTGTTCGTGGAGAGGATGAATGAGTGCTGGCATGAATCGGGTTTTGCTGCTTGTGCCTGGCTCTCGCTGGCTCTCGAAGATTGACGAATTTGGCGAATTTTCTGCAGGTGATGGAAAATTCTTGTACTGGAATGGGTTCGTCGACAAGGCGACGGCGGCGTTGCGGGCCGCGCTGGGGATTTTGATGATCGCTGCCGTGGTGGATTACGTGCCGGATCATGATCTCAAGGTGTACTGCGCCTCGTTCACCACATTCGCGCCGATGATCGCTGCCAACGCTGGCGAGTCGTCGCTGGGCAAGGTGCTGCAGAACATCGTGGCCGTGTTCGAGACCTCGGTGATCACCATGTGCGTCACGATGCTCGTCCTCCGATTCATCGTCCCCCCGTTCCATTTGGGCGTGACGGTGATTTGCATCGGAGTCAGCTCCTTCGCCATCGCCTACCCGACTCGCATCTCCGTCTTGGGCAAGAAGGTCGGCCTCGCTCAGATCGTCATCACGTTCGTCTCCGCCCACCTGAACCCCGATCTCGACGTCGTCCACATGCCCGTCAAGTACCTGTCGTCCATCACCGTGGGATCTGCTGCCGCACTGGTCGCGTACTCCTTTCCCGCTCCCCGGCTCGGCGTCGTCCAGGTACCCCACACCGACCGACCTCCACCATCACACAATCAGCTCTCCCAATTGAAGGAACACATTTGTCCTCCCATCGATTGCAAAGTACACGAACTCATTCGGCAAATTCCTTCTAAGCTTTGTCAGAAGCCCGTGTTCAGCTCGGGCAGCATTCGGGAGAGGGCGACCAGATTACGTCTCAGAATCGGAATGAAATCTTTTCTTATTCCCTTGAGCTTTGCTTGTTGATCAATTGCAAGCAGACGAGGGTCGATGAGAGCCCTGAACCGGACTCGCTCCCTGTGATCGATCGATCTGCTCGCTTCCGGAGCACGGGCATTGATGCGGCGCCAGAGACTTTGGGCCACGAGAGAATGCAGGAATTGAATGAAGTACAAAGTTTTGATGGCATTAGGGGAGAGTCTTGCTTCGGAGGGGAACTGATTTTGTACTGGTCAGAAACTTGTGATTAGGTCCAACGGAGCGCGAATTCGGCGGTGCGTTGCCTCACGGAGCTCTTCAAGACAGTCACGTGCGGATTTTCCACGAACGATCCCAACTCAATGTACTCCGTGAGCGTGCACACGCGAGCTCTGCGCAAGTCTGCCAACGATGTGGTCAAGCAGCTCCACTCCATCCAGGTTAGCCTCCGTCTTCTTCTGACATGATTCTCAGATCCGATCAGTTCAGCTGTTCCCGGACGAATCTCTCTCTCTCTCTCTCTCTCTCTCTCTCTCTCTGAAGTGAAGAGGATTAAGAATGAAAGATATAAGGATGAAAGAAGAAGGCCGAGGTGAGTTGAATAGCATGAGTCACGTCGCCATTTAGTGAAACTAGCACTAGCAAGAAACCTGTGGACAGTCGAGTGTTGACATGGGGCTGCTGCTGTCTCGTACAGGCGGATCTCTGGTGGGAGCTGAGGGCTTGCTGCTCGATGCCAGCGCTCAACAATTTGATCGACGGATTGAGTAGATTGAACTTGCACATCGCGGGCATGGAGTATTCGCTCCAGTCGGACCATTTGCTACGAAGCCCTCCGACGCTGCGAGACACGATGAAGGAGTCGCTCTTGGTGCTGGCCGAGGAGAACAGCCACTTGCTGGCCAGGGCAACGGGGGTGACGGTTTTCTCCCACTGGTGCCTCAATTCCCAGGAGCCCGCTCGGATCGAGGACGGCAAGGAGGCGCTGTTTTTGTTCGAGGAGACTTTCATGTACGCCAGGAAGAAAGCCTTCTACACGTCGGACGAGCCCACCATGGTCGACAACATCTTGAGCGGAGCTTGCGTCCTCGACGGGCTGCCCATGCGAGGGATGGCGAACTCTCGCTGCAGCAGCACCGACACCGACGACATCCCCTCGTCCTCGAAGGGCAGATTCATGGCCAGAGCCACCACCTACTTCTTCCTGTTCAATGTCAAGCTGTACACCGAGCAGGCTATGCAGCTGGTGGATCCTTTCTACAGGCCTGTTCGTGAGCACAAGGCTCCCGGTCTGAAGAAGTGGATTCCCGGGCTCGAGCAGCGCTTGAGCCTCGCTAATGCTGCTGCTGCTTCTGCGGATTCTTCGAGAGCTACGGAAAGCTCTGGATCCGGATCAGCAGCAGCAGCAGCAGAGATGGCTCACGGTCGAGCCCCTGCAGCAGCACAAATCGGGTGCAACCTGTGCACTCAGGTCCGGGTGCGCAAGGATTTGGAGTCGGGCTTCTCATTCAGGTTCTACCGAGCATTCAGATCGTGCATACAGCCAAACACGAAGCAGATGAAGGGAGCTCTGAAGATCTCCATCGCCTTGATGCTGGCGACCGTCTTCGGAGCCTTGGACCTCAAGGGAGACTCGCACCAGGTCTGGGCGGCCACCACCGTGTGCTACATCATCGGCTACCACCAGGGAGGCGCATTCCGGATCGCTCTGCAGCGATTCCAGGGCACGACCATCGGAGCGATTTTTGGGTACCTGGCCATCCGAGGCTCGGGCTCGCAGGGCTTCGTTATCATGATCGTCATCACCCTGTGGACCGTGTGCACCAACATCGTCAAGCACAGCAAAATGCATGGCTACTCTGGCGGCTGTGCTGGGTCTACGGCCGTGGGCATGATGCTGGGAGATCCACCGGAAGATATTCAAACCTACGCCGTGCAGAAGATCACTCAAACCTTCATCGGAGTGCTGAGCTACGTGCTGGTGGAGCTCTTGGTGTTCCCGGACCGAGCCAGGAATTTGGTCAAGACAGAGCTGGTGCATAACATCGTGCGCTTGAGAGATGCCGTGGCCGAGGTCGTGGACATGTACACGGGAGCCAGAGCCGGATGCTTGGAGTGCCGCCACCGACGAGTGGACGAGATAACGAAGCTGGAAAGGCACCTGAGGAAGGATTTGGATCACCAGACTCACTTGCAGGAGGAAGCTGGCCTCGAGCCCGATCTGTGGTGGGTTCCTTTCCCCGGAGACGTGTACTCGAAGATCGCTGCCATCCAAGGCCGCATGCTGGACCTGCTCGTCTTCATGCTCTGCTGTCTGCAGGCCTCGTCGGACGAGGAGTACGATGACCATATGCAGATGCTGCTGGAACCGCTGCAGATCTCGCTCACGATGTTGAAGGACGAGGTGGCCAGCACCTTGAATCTTCTGCACAAATTGCTCGACGATCACAGCAGAAAGCGTCCGGGAATGTTGGAGAGGAACTGCTGCTGCTGCAGAGTTTCTGTCACCTTCCAAACGGCCGATGATTTGGAGAGCTCGCTTAGCACTTCCGAGCCCTCGGAGCCGACCATGCATCCGATCCGGGTGCTCGACAATCGCCGAAGGACCGTCGAGGGAACTCCTCTGACTCTCAAGTCCAGCATGGAGAGCTTCGAGCATGTGTACGAGAGCGTGTTCGAGGAAATCATCGCGGACAGCAAGAAACAAGGCGGCCGGATCGTGAACAACTCCGTCATGCTGTCCATCAGCTCGCTCAGCTTCTGCTTGCATGCTCTGCTGCGAGAAACCGTCGAGCTAGAGAAGGCCGTCTACAATCTGCTTCAGGCCGAGCAGCCCTGGAGCGTTCTGGACTTCTGGGACGCTTATGCCCCCAACCGATTTTGGCACCGAGATTCTTCTAACCAGCGGCCCGAATGACATGCACTTCAGCTGACTCCGTCATCTGATTAGCTCTGTCGAGTTCAGGGGCTTGGCATCCGGTACCCGAGCTCTAGGTTCTGCGAGAGACAGGCGAAGTTGCAGGTTTGTAATCAAATTCAATATGCTACACTGTTTCTCTGTCATTCATTAATTTATGCACTAATTGTGCCCCAGGTATATCAGTGTGGATTAATGGATCTGTGCGTATGTGCTGAACTTTTCTCAGATTTTCTTCGTCGTGGAATGGATGCAAAGGTCGGTGGCGATGAGTGTAGTGATATTAATTATTTTTGGTCGTATGTAGTAGCAGTATATTTGTCGTTTAATAGTATATGTACATTCATATTTACGACAGAATCATTTTTTTTCATAGTGCTTAGTGTTGCAATGTAATCTGTTCTTACATTCTCGTTTATGTGGCGATACAGATGCGAAGTTAATGGTTGCCATTGAGGACGACAAGTCAACGCCATCTTTAGTGGTTTAACCCGAATTGTGAGCATGTGTAGTGAATATAATGGTGAGTTTATTTGATATGTTCATGTTTACAGGCTGAGATTAAGGCGCATGCATTTTTAATCATCGAAGAGTGTTGAAGGCCCAAAAGCAAAAACAGAGTACTTCAAAAAATGAATACTGTGATAAAATCATACACTACATTCATAATGAATTCACTCCATCTAAGTTCTTCGAAATTCAGCTTCAGGTTGATCCCACGACCTTCCCGAAGTCAAGTTAGAAGGTGCGTTTGCAAGAACTAATACATCCTTTACTCCTCTGGAGCTCGAGTCCTTTGGTGTGATGGAAAAGATCCATCTCATCAACAATCTTGAACGGATCGACTTTACACAGAATTGATAGAATTTACACAAATTGTACATCTCAAGACCCACAATGGAATCTGGAGGGGTCGTCGGCTAATACAAAGACTCTGTTCTACGCTCGACAAGAACGCATCAGTAGTAGACACCCTGAGCGAAGAACAGGATTGGAATAACCACCAAGGCCAGAATAGCAAGCGTCGGGAGAAGCTTGTTGCTTTTGAACGCTTCATTCACACCTCCCGTGGAACGATAGTGCTCCACAGCCAGATAAACCGCCAGAGCGATTGATGCCAGAGATGCGGGAGTGCTGCCTCTGCATGCATTCGAGAAGAACCAAGTTTCATCAGTTTGCTGCAGATTAGCTCAGAACGCACCTTCATATGAAGGGTTGAAAAACAAAGAAAAGTTCTTCTTAATCGTTCACACATCAAACTGGCAAGGAAACCTTCTGCTTCTGTCTACTGTCAACAAACAACCTGTCCCTATCAACCAACTTGCACCATGTCAGTCGACACTGGACTTACCGGTATTGAGTGAGTTGAATTGGTGCAGTGATGACCAAAATCAGCACGTAAAGTGGTAGATGAACCTCCCCTGTAAGCAAAGAACCAAAAGTCAGACCCGACTATCTTCAGTACGTCAGCTTATCATGTTTCATACTTGGACGGTATCTTCCTGCTATACGACACCAGACGATCAGAAACCACAAGCAGATGATTCTTAAGTGGGAAGTCAAGTTTTTGAAGATGAGAGGTATAGCTTACCGGGAATTTGATAGAACAGTTTCACTAGAATCGCTACGAAAGCAGTCCATAAACCGTACTCTCCCCTGCGTTGCAAGGCATGACAAAGTGAGAAAGTCCGGCGGATTTAATCACGGGCGTTGCTGACTAGTCCACACAGAATCCGTAACAAAATTGTGCAGCGCCAAGAAACTCATCACCATACCTCATCCAGCTGAGAGCTTCACGAGGGAGTTCGAGGACCAAGAGAGGGACAAGGAAGTGCTTCGGGATGGCTGCGTTCTTGAGGAATAGAAGAGACCTGTTCGGTGCATCAAATTCCACAAAGTTTGACAATCGTTATTTTTCTGTCGAGAGTCATCCGCGACGGCTTCTTCAGCTCGTCAGCTTCAGTAGATCATGATCGCTTGTGGCAGAGTGCAAGAAGAATGAACACCGAGAATAGATGAGAAGAAATTGGGGTCCAAGGGAAAACTTACGTGGCAGCAGCTACAAAGATCCATCGTAAGGTTTCAACGGAAGCAGGAAGAGCGCACACGCTTCCCATAGCACCTCCACCGCAGCTTCCGGAACCGAACATCTCTAGCTTCGAATCACGCACTCGGGTCTCCGTAATCGAAGAGCCGACAAACCTGCCCCCACGAGCAGAAATGCAGTCAAGACCTCTTCCTCACTAGAGTCACCACACTGACAACACAGCACGTCCACCGCTACCAACAACCAGGCGGCACACTGCATGCAATTCTGCGCCCTCATGCACTCAGAGCATGAGCTCAAATCCAAACTCTCGATGGTTCCACCAGTCCATCAGCTGGCGTCCAAAATCTCTACTCCGAGTGACACTATCAGCTCAAACCAACGGCAAGAACGTGTCAACGACCGATCGCAGGCTAAAACTGAGGCCTGCGCAGCTGAAGCAGCTGCAGCTGGGAAGAAAGAGAAGAGAAGAAACAGAGGAGGAGGAATACCCGAGTGACTTGCCAACACACTGAGTAGAGCCATTTTTGTACAAAACTCTGCTGGAGTGAGCAGCGACAGCTGACGAGCGAGGAAGGCGGAATTTAGAAACCACAGTAACCGATTTGCGGCCGCTGCAGGGACGCGCAGTGAGCCCGAGCACAGGCAGTCCGATGCAGGAAGCAGAAGCACAGGCAGAGATCGTCATAATTGCAAAACAAAGCGAATTATTATACAGAACACACACGACTGAGAACAACACTCACGGGGACGACTGTACAGGAGCTCGAATGCTCACGATCTCATCCCTGTATCTTAAATACTCATGCCACGCACCTCCAGACAGACTCGCTATTCTCTACCTGGCTGCCCTCGACGCTCACCAAAGCCCATGCCAGAGGGACGAATTTACCTCCAGTGCCAGCAGCAGCATCAGCACCGGCTGCTCCCGTGACCCGGGGATCCTGCGCAGCTGGAAAACTCTGCCAATTGAATCTCAGCTCGCGGCTTTCTCGTTCGTGCAGAAATCTTTGCAATCCAATCATGCAAGAGCGCAGATGTGGGGAGGGGAAAAATCCTCGAGAAAAATAATAGTTCACCGAGGGGCAGAGAGGAAGATAGTTTAGCGCGCCTAATCACACGTCGCCAAGTGGCTCGGGGCCTCACTCCTCGCAACTCCGCAGACACGACACCTCCTTTGTACAAATCACCCTACCCGTGCTGACCTGTACCGTAGCTCTGATTCGTACCGAAGTATACAGTAGGACAAAACGCGCGTGTGGAGGGGTCCAGGATTGGTACAACTTCAATACGCGGGGTGGCTTGCGTCAGAGTCAGCATGTGCTGGTCGGGCAAAACGCAGCGCGACGGCTTGTGTGGTGAAACTCGCGTCGCTTCTCTATATACGCTGCCACGTGTTCCCCGTCGCGGACGGGAGAGAGCTCTCGTTTACTTGTGCCTGTTCCGTGTCGACACGTGCAACGCCGACGCTGCACCCCGCGACCAATCTGGCATCGCTCATTCGCTGTTGCGAGTCTGCCTCCTGATAACGGGACGCCATCAACCATGTCAACCATCCGATACCACGACGGCGCTAAACTGGATTACAGTCCAGTCCGCTACCGCGTTAGATGGTGGTAACCTGCATCCTCCCCGGCAACCGTCATCCACTTGACACGCGTCAGATGCTGTGCAGCCAATTTTAGGTTGTCGAGGGTTACCGGGGCCGATGCGACTGGACTCCACCCACTGGAGAGCCTTGTCTTATGTGCCCACAGTGTTGCTAGTCAACTTACTTGGTACTCATCTACTATATCCGATAACGAGGTGATGGATAGCGTAATCATGGATCATGCCAGCTCAGACACGGTCAGTCCTCTTTTGCAACCGAGCGAGTGCTGGCTGTAAAATGATCGATCCTCTACGGAGCATGTTTTGCACTCAAAGAGTGTCAGCCGGCTTCTCGGAGCTGGGCGTCGGTAGGATGTCAACTCAGGACTCTGCTTCAGAGTAGGTCCACAGTCCAGAGTGCAGACGAGGAGGATGGAGGTGGTGGAGGATGCAGAGCCGCAGCACCGTGTCGTAGTCATGTGGCAGTGAGCGTGGATCGTAACGAGCGGTGTCGTGAATCGTCCGTTTTCTCAAGTCGGCACGAGGGTTGCAGAAAATTGACTGTGATGTTAACAACATTGCCGCCGAGATTGTACCTCCGATGCCCGAGGGTTGCTGTGAGTATCATTCAAGCTCTGATATGTTTCAAGTCAATGATTACTCGGTGATGGAGTTTTCTCTCCTCTGCCTGCTGTGAGTTCATTACGTTACTCCTGGAGCTAGTTGTCGAGGTCCGCATAATCAGCAGTGCAGTGTGCTCTGGCTGTTTCTGTCTGCTGCTTGGAATCCGAGTAGAGACTCGTTTCATCACCTCCACTGGAAACTCCATCGTTCCAGGCGGTGCTCCTGGTACCGAATTTGGTGTGTGACAAGAGGACAGCGATGTAGACGAAATGGGTGTCCGACTCAGAGTTGGAACCAGGAGAGGCTCGAGAGTGTATCGCAGTCGTTGGTGATTTGGTAGGTGGCTCAAGATGTACAAGTTTGATATTATAGATTGGATGATCGGAAGGTAGGCTGCGCGTAGTGGACTGTGGAGACCAGACCACATGACTGCAGAGAGATCCTCGAGCGCAGTAGAAGCAAATCACTTCAGCTCACTTCACTTCAACCAACATCACATCACAGGACCTGGCGAGAACCGTGTCGACTGACCTGGCCTGGCCCGATCTCGCGAAGTCGGTCGGGAGAAACTTTCTCTCGTTGTCAGTACTCCTCGTCACTCTGTAGTCTGGAGGAGTCCAGGCAGTGCACTTCATGCACCGAGCGATGCGACGACTGAACCTTTGCTGCGCTTGGATTACGTCAGCTCATAAGTACGCTACCTTCCACTCTTGATTCTGAACTTCTCATTCTTGAAGCATGTTCGTGCACGCCCGTCCGCCCGCCAGGTCATCACGCTGCAATGTCCGAGTTCATGACGATCACAATCTCTGAGGCCGGGTAAACCCATGCAGTTCCGTTCAGCTCGATTCCTTGCGATGGCCATTCTACTCAAACCGGTGAAAACATCACATTCAGCCTGGAAACCAAGACCAGTTACTTACAGCCCCTACCAATGCATCGTACCTTTAAAATTGTGCCTTGCTGTCGCTAGCTACGAGAATCGATGGAATTTCCTACAAACAAGAGAGTTCGAAGGCAGTGAAACGAATGAAAAGAAATAAGAGCGGTGTAAGGAACAAGTGAGAGCTTCAGGGAATGCGTACAGTCGATTGTAGGAACATTGTACATGTGGACGAAGCTGAGAAACTCCGCTTGTAAAAGAAGCAAGCTTTCTACAGGGTCGATTGGATTCTCGGACGCGGAAGCATGCATGAGAACTCCGATTCCCACCTGTCCGCAACTTCAGGCATGGAGGTCATACTGTTCTGCTGAAATGACGGTGTAAGCGAGGAATGTGACGTCAATCACTGCAGTGGACATTTTTCTTTTGAAAGCACGTTTGATTGAGTTCACATCGTTTAGATTTATCTTCGTCCCTTACACGAATTGGTTATACGACTTTTTTATTTATATTTGTCACATACACTAATATCACCGCTAAATAATTCATCGACTGCGGTATATTTTAGGAGCGAGCTGATAATTTTATTAATTTCGAAATAATCTCAAAGTCGTAGCTACACAAAGAAAAAGGATAAATATGATGTTGAAAAGTTGAATATAAGAAAATCAGCGCGGTTATATCTCATCAACCCCTATAAGGTTAAAGAATACGTAAAGTTAGATGTAAACTTCGGAATTGTCATCTACTTGCTGACATAGTTGCTTTCTACCAATTATTCCATGCAAGGAACCTTTAGTAGAAAAGCAGAGATTTCATGCAAAGTGGGCTATGCATTGACCTATGAATCACTACACAACATGTTCAATAAATAATGATATCGTAAGCTACCATTCGGACTTTACCACATTCTCTCAGTTACATACTATTCAAAGTTCTTATTCATATCAAAACTTTTTATGAGGTGGAAAGACTTTTCCAATTCAAATCATTCTTTTCAATTGAGACTTGATAACCTGTATGTAACTAAGTGTTTTTTTGGCAAATTTTTGAAACTTTCTATGTCTATTATTATTTTATTTTGATATGCGAGAAAAACATAACATGGTTAACGAATTTTTAATTATCATGATCAAATATAACAAATTCATCATAATTTTTTATTTTTTTTCATAATTACAATAAAGCACTTTTCAACTAAATTTCAAGAGAATAAAAACATATCGATACTTCATATGTTTCATATGTATATTTCAAATTATATAAGATGTGAATCAAGTTGAATAATTACAATTTATTCTTTTATTTTAAACAAAATATCGTTATTTGTTCATTCATGATAATATGATTTTTTGCAAAGAATCATTATTTAAAAACTACGTCATGTTCAACATAATCGTCATATTCACTAATTACTTATTATATATATGAACAATAATTTAATTTCAAAAAAATCAATCATTCATGTACAAAAAAACAAATTTTTTGACGACATCAAAATATTTTATCATTTACATATTTTTGGAATATACTGTCATCATATTGTCATCATAAAGTTTATAATTGAAAATTGAAACTTGCATAAATTAAGTGATTCATGTTACTTAATTAATTATTCAGTATTTTGAAAGTTACTGCTGCCAATAAACTTAGAATGAAGATGTAAGCCAGTCGTTTTAACAGTTCAAAATTAGTCAAAAAGGACTATTACTTTATATATTTTATTTGTGATAAAACATGCAAGTATATTATAGAAGATTTTTTATTTTTTTATAAGCAAAATGATATCGTTAACAAATGAGAAATAATATTACACATGGTAAGCTGTTGACACAATTAACACTTGTAATTTACATTACTTTTACTTCAGTTGGTAAAATGTCATGCAGAAAAAACTATATGACAGAGTTTGCAAGGTTTGATGTTCTAATATCATGCGTTCATCTAGGATTTTTTAAAGAACATGATATGACTTGAAACTTTCTCAATCTTTTTATGCAAACATTTATTTCTCATTGATTATTTTTTTGACTTCATTATCTTGTGATCAACAATGCACAATGATTTTCACTTAAACAATTTAATTATAATTGGAAGTGTTAGTTATCTTATTCATGTGTGTGTGGTGTGGTGAAGTGAAGTGTTCAAATTCTTGATCTCACAAGCAGATTTTTGTTCAGAAATATATTATTTTATTATGGTATTGAGTCTCAATTTAGGCTTTTTTTTTCTAATTTATAGGCTCAATTGCCAATATTATTATTAATCATGGATCTACTAGCCTTGAAAAATTGTGCACCATCATAAAAAATGCTTCTTTGCCACTATAAAAGATTCATCTCAGCCTTGTTTTGTGTAAGATGAATCAGGAGCTATACTTATCTTTTGAAGTCTTTTAATGTGCAGTATTTTGACTTGTCATCTAGGCTAATTAAATATATATATCAATTTCTAAATCTAGTTATTATTATTATTATTCGCATTTTGCAAGGAATGATTTTCAAGATTAATTTTGTGGTTTTTTTTCCTCAATTTTTATTTATCAATGCAATGAGCTTCCTATCGAATCTGATCTAGACTCTGTTCTCTTAGCATGCTTGCATGAGAATGTGGTCAAAAACTAGATGCATACTGTACTCAACGTTTAAGAGTATACGCATGCATCCGCGGATATGCATGCTATCATCTGGTTTGAAAAGTATTGTTACGCGACGATATTAACAAATATTATTAATCATCATATAATTTGTCACTGTTCAATATGTCATCATGCAATTGGAGATTCTCACTTCAAGAACAATCATAAGTGCTAATCTTTATATGTTCATGGATATGAATTCTGGATACTTATATAAATTGGTAAATTATCATTGCTGTTGAGAGATTGGCGTCGACATCAAGGGAGATTGTGGATACTGATGTAAATTGGTAAATTATCATTGCTGTTGAGAGATTGGCGTCGACATTAAGGGAGATTATGATTACTGTATATCTTCAAATCACTAGACTATGAGATATATTTGGATCATGGACAAGATATGGACACGTTTCTTGTATAAGGAGATTGGTTTTCTTATTATACACATTGGTGCATAGAGCTGGATCATGGACAATTCTATTATAGAAATGTGTTCAGGGAGAATATCAACTGTGATCCATCATATGTATTAAACATACATAAAAGAGCTGTGGTTGAAGATATAGTGATTTAGAACAAGAGAGAGGAACTCTCCTGACTTACGGCTTTTGCTCCGTGCCTAATTCGATATATGCGCTATTTTGAATTAGAGTTTTTGATGAGGATGGAGTATTTGCTACGCTGTCTATAGTACCATATAAGATTGACAAATCCGGACATTTGATAAAAGTCAAGTAAACCAGAGGCAAATCGGACTGCAACTTCAAACTAAGTTTAAGCCGATAAGATGAAATATGCGTGAAACCACGATGATGAAGAACGTAGATGTATACCTTGAAAATATCTACAACATTAGTTGTCTTGAATATGCAAAAAGCCAGCCCTGCATACACATTCTTTAGGTTTTCTGTGTGGAATAATACATTCACGCAGTCTACCTTTGGGAATCCCGCTTGATCGATATGACCGTACATGTAAGAGCTAACAACTAACTACTCATGATGGTATACAGCCTTTCAATCTTCGTCGTCGCCCAGTTCGGTCAGAGGTTCGGTGTTTCACCATTTAAAGGTGTGAGAATTTTTTACCTCACGCTCTTGGCACATTGGCGGATGTGTCTATCTGTGTGTCCTGAACATGCACTACTCCTAAGTTTCTTGATCGTTAAAGACGAACTTACTCAGAGGATACCACCTCGTTCTTTTCTCTGTTTTGCGGTGATTCGGTCTCAGTTTCATAGACTCGGATTGTATGTAGTCCGGATGTCTTGCCCGGGAGAAGGGAATTCTCCTTCATCCAAACTCCTGCAACGTGACCACATGCACCAACAGTAACCCTATCCTTTAAACCATCCTCACAGCTATATTACTCGGAATTCTTCGAATCTTCCAACCATTGTTTAATGGCGTTTTAACCTGTCCCAATCCGCAGACAGATGAGCTGAGAAGTCCAAAAAGTGTGATAGCGAGATACACACTTCGCACATGTCCGCATTCACGTGTCAAGACAAAACAAAGAAACAGAATCGCACCTCATCCACACAAGAAGCCCACCTTCCTCCAACGCACCACCCCGCACTCCTAATCCGCAAGCGAGAGAAGCCTTCGAGGCATCAGCAGCCAGAACAAAGCAAAGTAACCCAAAGCACATGTTCGATCATGTTCGTCGTCCTCCCTCCTCCCCCGACCATCCTCGACCCTCAAACAAACTCCGTTCCACCGAACGAACGCCCAATTGCCATTCTCACCTGCCCCCGCCCCTCCCCTCCCCTCCCCTTTCATAACATCGCCGCCCCTCCCCGCCAGCCCCGCGGCCCTCCTCCTACCGAGCCCGCCCAGCCCCCGCTGACTGGACCGAGAAAGCGACGAGTACGGCAACTAGAAATTCGAAATTCGGTTGAGAACTCACCCCACCGAACCAACCACAGTAGGTCCAGGCCCCCAGAAGTGGCTGGAAGTAAGTATAACTGACGGCTCGACGAAGTAAGTTTCCGGGACGTTGCCGTTCGCAGGAAAATCCCAGGGCAAGGGCAAGGGCAGGGCATAAAATGGTGTGTCCCGTGACTGGCTGGTCCCTGTTGCCAGGCGGCTGCTGCTGCTCCTGTTCTCGCTCTAGATTGTGATTGTCTCCAAGATTACCGTCAGTTCCATTTTTGGTCTCATCTGCCTCGCGTCGTCGCGTCACCGGCACCGGAGTCTACGCAGACCGTGACGCTGAATTTCGCGAGTTGTGGGGCAGATTTTGGGGCAGACTATAAAACGGGTTGCCGTGCCTTCCATGGTGAGCGAATAACTACTGCATCTGGTTTACTTGGTTTCAGATTCCATATGTGGTCACGCCCTATGGACTCTCGATCTCTTGATAGCAGTAATGAAGATCTTGTTGCATGATACTCATAAATTTTACGATTATCTACAGCTCTGACGAAGGCTTTAACATAGGCTGTACACAATTTTTTTCCGATACAATACAATATTATATTTCAATGTTTCCAGTATCACTGGATCTAGCATTACAACATTTTAAGAGTATAGCAAACTTTGTATTCAAGTATTATTAGTATTATTCAAGATTATGAGCTTGAATATGATATTAAATACTATTTTCAAAATCCTTCAATAGGACATTTGATTAGGAGATGTGGTGTTCCAATGTTGTGTTTTACATAAACTATCTATCGTGGAAAATCCATATGCATACCAAGATGAAAGAATATAAAACCTATGACTTTCAGTTTAAAAATATCTAATAGTCGGTCAATTGTAACTAAGGATGAAGTCACTTAGAATAATATTAGAATCAAAATCTGAATTGATATTATACTTCTCAATAAGAAATTGAGAATTATAATATATATTATAAAGTGATTTTGAAACTTTACTATGTAAATTCAATCATAAATCAACAAAATAGGAAACATTTTTGTCACTGAAATGTGGCCAAGATTTCTTTCATATTATGTAACAACATTGATCTTGATTATGCTAACAAATTGAATTTTTGTTTCATTTTATGAATTGTTCAAAAATCATACTGTATTTATATTTTTAATCATTTTCTAAAGAAAAATATTTTTATACATAATTCAATTTATCTAAATAAAATATTAATAATTGACAAGCAACTTATTTTCATGCATTCTGATTTTCAATTTATTTGGAAAATAACCTTCAAGATTTATTTATTTTTTGTGAAAAAATTTATATTTTATGTAACTGAAACGAAATATTCAAATTATAATAAAATATATTCATATCAAATTATTATTATTATAAATTATATTTTATTTTGATCATATAAATTATAAAAATATGTTAAAAAATATATCACGATTAAAGATAATGTCGCCTTATATAGCAAAAAAATTAACATACATTCAGACAAAAATTTGATTGGAAAAAGAATATGTATTATCTTATGCACTCAATAAACACAAAAATATATATAAATGACATATGAAAATAGCATAAATGATCAACAATGATTATCTTGGACTTCAAGCAATCTTGATAACATTGGAATGAGTCTTGAAACAATTGATGAGCTATAATTTGGATTAATATTTATTGTGATGAATAATAAAATTTGAAATTTTAAGAACAAAATCTGATTAATTTTTATTACTAATTTTTAATATATTGTGCTTATTCTTAATCTTAAATAAAAATCATAAAAATTCAAAGACAAAGTTTTATCACAATATTATGATTGAATCACTATCAAAATAATAATAATAATAATAACACAACAACATATATTATAATATAATTAAAATTTATGCTTAATTATATTAAATACATCAGTATACAAAATTGCTTGATACCTACTTGTATGTTTAGTTCCAAAAAATTGAAATTATCGAAAATATTTTAGATTAAATTTAAATAATAAATGAAAAATAATTTCTTAATTTTAAATTAAAGTATTAAAATATAATTATTTATTTTATTGATATAATAAATTAAATTCAGAATGAAATATTTTAATATTGAGTTCATTTATGTATTTTATATTTAAATTAATCATTTTTTAAAACATTAAATTTTTAGCATGAAATATTTGTTAAAATTTGATTCAAAATTTGAGTTAACTAGATTAGTATGTAAATTAAAGTTTCATTGGCTAGAGACATTGTTTGAACCTAAATCAGATTTGACTTAATATGATGTGTCAGATTTAGCTGTTCGTGAAATTATCTATTTAAATATAAAATATAAAATTTTAATATAATATATAATGTTCATATATTTAAAATATAATATATATCTTTTTTTGGGTTATAATGAAAATTTTTATTATATATTTTATCATTTTATTCATAAAATATTTTGTATGATGTATACAGTTAATTATTTAAATTAAATAAAATACCAAAAAATTACTCAATATGTAATCTTTCTATAACCATATGACTCTTGAAACTATATATTATTTTATGCACTTATTACATCTATTTTTTATAAATAAATAAATGTAATAATATTATACTTTTTAAATCATAACAAACAATTTTTAAAGATAATTGAATGATAAAAATGTTAATATCTTATGTAATTATATTGATATATAATTATAATTTTTAATACATCTAAAAAATAATTTATAATTTATTACATTAAGAAGTTGCTTGTATATTTTAAAAATATATTGTAAAATTTTGAATGAAGCTTCTTCTTTATCATAATAGTGAATTAGATTTTTTCCAAAAAATGATGTTTTCATTTTTAAGATTTATTTGTATTCAAACTATTAAGTTTTAGTTCATTTTTTATTTTTGCAATTTTGAAAATTATATTTTTTTTGAAACATTATTTATTGAAGCATATTAATTTATTTCAATTTCAAATTTGTTCAGGTTTTATAATTTTACCAGTTTTGTAAGCTTTAGATTGAGATTTTTTATTTTAGTTTATACAATATCATGCATTTTCATTGAAACATCAATGACATATTTATATTAATTTTTTTTTTAGAAAATATGATCATTGGTTTTATGTATATTAGAAAATTTTTAAACAATTACATGTAATTTTTTCTTTTACATTTATATAATAAAATAAAATTTGTGATTAATTTTCTTTTATTTCAATCTAATGAAAATAATCAAATTTTATTTTTCCATTATTGATGTATGATTGATTTGACATGAACAACATCATTAAGTGGAAAAAGAATTGTGTAGTTTTGATAAACAAAATTTGGACTTAAACCGAGAAAAATATTCAGAAGATGTGAGCCACATAGACTCCAATTCTTACATGTTTAAAGATGTTACGTGTTTCAGAGTTGACATGCTCCACTTTCGACCTATAATTATTCTTTTTGAATTCGCATTGTGATTTTCCATGTAGAAATGAAAATAACTTTATTAATCAAAAAAAAATTGACATGTTAGAAGATGGGTACAAGCTTTCAATAATCAAATAACTCATTAGACAAAACAAGTGCGCCCTGTGAAAATACACTGGTTTCTTACTCGTGTTTTGGAAATATTTCTTGGCAACTTAGACAACGACTAGTCTACAAAAGAAAGATAGTGTTCAAGAGTAAGCTCTAATGCTTAGAGTCTTCATTAATAGTTACAAGCTTGACTACTCTTTGGAGACTGAAGTAACGAGTTTTGAATCAGGATATTTCCAAGCATTGGTGTATGAATTATATGTCAAAGAGGTGGATAAGGTTTGAGTTAGGGGTATATCTTTGCATGTTTTCTCTATGATTTATAGTACTTGCTTTTGGAATGGCCACGTCACATAGATACATGTTCTTAGTGTCACTTTCAGTCAATAGAAAACAATTAGGCTAGTAAATAAATATATACTGAAACTTAGATAATGTTTACATCTACACCTCAAGGATCTATGGTTTTAAAAATTGTTATGGTCAGCTCTTGGTTTAACTAGATGTGCAAAAATGACCATAAAATCTTGTCATGAATGACTTCAAATTGGAAGTATTATCATTGTTGAGTTCTGAGATCACATAGATTGAACCGTTGTGACATCCTATAGTATTGTTGACTCTCATGATGAATTTTTCAATTGGTTTCACACATACATCTATGGAATTGTTTTTCTCACAACCACTTAACCTCATGGCTGTTGTTAAGCGCAACTCTCACCTACTTACCAAAATTATTAAAGATACAAATTGAAATTTTTTAAAATGAATTATATGTGATGTTGATCAATTTTGATGCATTGTTGTGTTATCATCTACTTGAATTTTTTTAAATAATTTTTGATTATTGTATTATTTTGACCATTTAATGACTTATATAAATATCAAATTTGCATACTTTTTGGATACAGAGTTTTATATAATTTTACTATAATTTTTTTAGTTTTTATTTTATTTTTTGGCTTATTTTGTTTATAAATTTAAACATGTAAGCTTAATAATGTATTTCATAAATTTTTTTAATTTTCAAATGCATAATTTTAAGAATTTTTTTTTAAATTTTTTTTATATATTTGTTGTTAAAGATCAAAATGAAATTTCAAAATAATAAGTAGAAGTTTTAATTATTTTGCATTTACATGAAAACAATTATATTAAAGTATTACACGGTCAATTGTGAAAATAATGGTTTTGTTAATATTAACATTAACAAATTTTGCTAAAAGTTAATGGTTTTACTATGAAATTATTGAAATTCACAAATTATATTCACGAAAAAAATCTGCATTTAAAATTTTGATATAAAATTTATAAATTTCAAAAGAAATAATCTAATTATAAATTTATTGTTAAGATAATATAATTTATTTTTCATAATTTTTTAAATTTCTTTAATATAATCAAAAATAATTTAAATATTCATAACTGGACCAACATTATAAGTTGAATAAAATTTAAAATAAAATTAATTTAGGTTTTAGAATGTGAATGTGCATATTTATGATAAACTGCATGTGAATATGCACATTCACATGCAGTAGATGAAAACATATATATCTTTACATTATCTCATTTTAGAAAATATCATAAATAAAACGAATTTTTTTATATTACCACTAAAATTTTTATGATAAAATATTTTTAATTTTAAAAAAATAAAATTTGGGTGAATTATTTTTAAGTTAAAAAAACATCAATTTATTTTTAAGTTTTTTTTCATTTATAATTAAAAACATGTCATTCCTTTGTAAACAAAATATTTATTATTTTTATTTACAGTTTATGATTTAAATTTTTTATTATATTTAGATAAAATTATTTTTGAAATTTGATATTTTAATAACGTTCAAACATGAGAATTTATGATGAATGAAGATATTAAACTTCTAATTTGCATTTCTATTGAAATCAAAGAGTTGATTGATGTGTAAATGAAATCATTATCTAGAATATGATCATCATTAAATGTTAATCATATGAAAAAAGTGCTTATAATGAGACATAAAGATGGAATTCTTATATATTGCAATGAAGATTTGAAGATGTAGTACCTAAAAGTATAAAAGTATTTATTCGCATGACAACAATGAAATAAAAACACACAAAAAACACATACACAAAAAATAATAATTCAGAATATCAACTTTAGAGCAAACATATTATTTTTTACGTTTCATCAAAATTGACATTGTTGACAATAAATGTGTGGATGATACAAGGATAATTTAAATTCAGAAAAGATGAAATATGTTAATCGTAGAAAATAAAAATGTATGAAAAATGAAGAGTTCAATACTTACTTTGGTAATTAAAATACACAATAGAAGCATATTATCTAATTGATAGTAAGAGAGTTATAGCAATTACTTAAAGTTTTCAAACTTTAAATGATAAAAGATGTATCTTGACTAAAAAATAATAATTTATTTAGATTCAAGTGCTCAATCATGCTCAAAGCAGATGATTATAAAAAACACAATGTTCAAGGTCATTGTGAAGATTCACAATAATCAAACTAGATGTATTATTATACAATGCATGCTTTTTCAAGACTAAAATGAAACTAGATTGCGGATGTTAGAGTAACATGTCAAGTATGATCCATTTGCTGAACTAATAATAAAAGCTAGATGAACTATAGAAACCATGTGACAGTACAGCTAATGCTTGTTACACAATGCATAAAAAGCTTGCAAACCACTCCATGATATAAATATGGAGAAAGTAGACGACACAATCATCGTAAAAATCATAGATAGTACTGTCTTTAAGCAAGTCATTGTATCATCATCAAACACACGAGGAAACCAAGCCAATAAAATAAAAGTATGTGACGACCCCCATCAAGTTGTAGAGTGAAGACAGCAGAGAGTAGGGTAGTATCAGGCCCCAAATTAAACAAACGGGCACGAAGAGGCAAACAGTAGCCAAATTGAAATATTCTTCTTAGAGCCACCTCGATCAACTGACAGTTGGATTATGGGCCACCTGGTAATATTATATGGAGATGCTGCTCTTATCTGTCTCATAGCCGCAGCACAAAGAAGAATATCACAATTCGGGATGACTCATTGGATTCATTGAATACATTTCACCTTTAATTCCTTACTCTCTCTCCTCTTTTGAGTTGTGGACTTCATGTGCACGGAACACATACCATAATTACTACCTTCCGTGGCCTTTTTTGTGGGCTTTTGAACTCAATTTTGCGGGTCTTTCGTCTCGAATTATGAGTGTCTTTCACAGTTACGTGAAGGAAAATACATGTCTCAAAATCATGTGATCCATTGATCGTACGGTAGTGCATGGAGTTATTTTAGGCGTAAATTCCGTGCTATATCGAGGGCACTACTTCGATTCTAATGCTTACCAGTGTGGAACAAAGTGTGGCAGTAGAAGAAAATATACATCGCGAACCCTGTTGATTTTTAAATGAGATCTATGACATTGGTACGTACGATCACCCGAAAAAGCTAAGCAAACTTGGCCAATGACCAATCGAAGCCATTTTGGCTGTTTACTTCGGCCCCGGTTCCACCAATCAAAGAACTGTCTGGCTTGTCGGTTTCTATTGGTTATCGATGCGCAAAGTCGCCCGCTGTTTGCAACTTTTATGAATGTCTTATTCGGCCCAACCAAGGTCTACATCTGAAATCTCCAGAAATAAAAAAAATCTTCATAGGACGCGCGTTTCAACGGATTCATACTTATCCTAACCTTAAAAAACCTTTCTTCTATAAAGATCAAAGTCAGGCCGAGCTTTGTCCAAAGTACCGTCACAAAACACGAAGGATGACAAAGGATGGGAAGACCCCATCAAATCGCGTACTTGAATGGCCAGGCCCCAATATTTTGTCCAAGGGAAATTCCATATTCCTGCGAAGCAGTCAACTTGTCTGATGTTGGCGACAGCATACTCTCCAAATGTAGAGTGAATGGTTAAATAGGTGCACGTAAAAAAGTCAAAGTAACCCCTCGACCTCATATTATTGATATAATCCCAAAATCGGAAAAGCTATATCTAGTCATCATGAATTTTTACATTTTGGATTTTGAACACGTTTTCGTTTTTCGACGAGGGTGCCGTAGGCTTGCATTAGAGGATGGTTTTCACATTATTTTCCGTCCGGGGGAGGGAAGTGAATTTGTTGAAAGTGGGTGGGGGAGCATCGGACGAAAGTAGGGGAGGGCAGAGTCTGCGTCTGATATCGCAGAGCTCGAGGCATGTGGAGGGCAAAAGCTCTGAAAGCGTCGCTGAGATTCGGGGCGACGGTCCGGACTCCGTACCCATTAGCCATGGGGGCTCTCGAGTGGAGAGCATCGAGGTCCCCGGTAACCGCTAGTGCCTACGCGTAGATTCTTCAGGCGACAAACGCCTCCACGCCCTCGCCGTATTTTCAACTTTCCGGGACCCCTCCTGTAAAGCCGAGGTTCACGTGGCAGGTGGAAAAGCGGAGGGAGACAGGAGCCGAAGAAAAAGAGTCGTTCGGCCCCCTCCTTGTCCCGTCGCCAGGTTTAGCAGCAGCCCTCCCGACGCTCCCGAGTAACGGCTGTTTCCTGCTATCTTAGCAGCTTGCAGAGCCCGTCTCCCCTCAGGACAGGGCGACGCCAACAGTTGCAGCTCCTTAAATGTCCGGGCCCACCACCGCCGTACGGAAAAACGACCACATCATTCACCTCCTGCTAATTCGGATTAGCTCGATCGTCGCCCCCGCTCCAATATTTAATTAGTTTTGTACCGTTGGAGCCCGGCAGAGTTTAACGTCCTCTTCTGTGCCAGGAACGGATGCCGTCCTCCTCCTCCTTTCCCGTCCTCAGACGACCGTGCTCTCGACACAGCCCGGTCAGGGACCCGGTTCAAACTCGGCACGAGACCGCAAACATCTTCACGCATGACGGGTCTGCCGCTGTGCGACTCGAGGAGTCCCTCCCCTGAGCTCTCTCCCTCTTTCGTCCCTTCCTTCCTTCTAAAGTACGACTCGATGGGGTCTTCTCATCCTCTTGCGTACCCTACATTCGGCTAAAGTGCTTGTCATAATGACGATCGTCGTCTCTGGCACCGCGGTACCGTATGTGGGAACAGCAGTACGAAGGTCGTTGGCTGTGGGACAGGTACGACTGATCTTACGTATCCGGAAAATGACGGGTTAGAGCCTGGAACTCCCTCGCCCTGTGCCGGTAGCGGTGTTCCTAATTGGTCGCTTTGCTCCGGTGAGCGAGCGAGCGAGCGAGGAAGAGGGAGAGGAGGAGGGAGAGGGAAGAGTCGCTTTTTCCGTTCAGCTGTAGCAGGCGACAAGAGGGCGCTAGACGACGGCGGAAGGATGCGACGACGACGGTGGATGGAAGGATGGTGGCCCCGCCCCCGTCCCCCGCCCGCGCGGAAAGCAGCGGCAGCGGCAGCCGCGCCTGAGCGCAGAGCGCAGAGCGCAGCAGAGGAGCGCTCCCCAGAGCCAGCGGGTGTCTTGGGCGGAGGGGAGCGGGTTCGTATTCCGGACGAGTGACGACGGGGTTTCGAGACCGTGCTCGTGGTATTATTTGGGTATGGGGTCGGGCCCTGAGGGTGATTAGTGCGTGTGAGTGAGCGAGTGATTGAGAGAGTGAGTGCGTGCGAGCGCTCGTTGAGGTTTGTTTTGTTTGTTTGTTTGGAGTGGTGGAGGTCGAGGGTGCTGCTGCTCGTGTTGTCGTCGGAGGTGATTGAGGTCGAGTTTACGTGAGGAATAATCGTCCATGCAAAAGAGGGCGGGCGGGCGGATACAGGAAAGAAAGGCTGAAGGCTGAAAGCGGAAGGGTGACGATGGGGATGTCTCTGAGCTCACAGAGCGAGGAGAGGAGGTCGAGGAGGTAAAAGCAGCGACGCCCGCCAGTGGCACGAAGCGGTTTCGCTTTCCGTCGATTTGTCGAAGAGGGTGCGGCAGCGGCGATCGGGATGCCGCAGGGAGAAGAAAAGGTTTCGGTGCATTTTTGGAGAAAGTCGAGGGCCCGAGGCGCTGCGCCGAATGCAGCCGTTTGAGAAGCCATCGCTCGCTCGTCTGGCCGAGTGTGGACACGTTCGTGGCCTTCCTGGAGCTCGGCGGCTCCGGAGCTTGAGAGCATTGCCTGGTATGTCCACACTCTCTGCTCGGGCTTCGATTGCGGAGGGAGTAGTGTCTGCGTGCTCTGAGTCGTTCGAGCTTAGGATCGGTGACTGCTAGTCTCCCGTAAGGCTTCGATTGTCCTCCGCGATATGAGCTTGTTGCGCGAGGCAGGGCAGATGCTGATGTATCGGTCTTTGTGATACAGATGACGGCAATTTCTGCTCGCGGAAGCAACTCGCCCTGCAATCCGAGCGTGTCTCCTCCAAAACGCGATCGTAGCCCGGCATGATACGATAACACATTGCTGTATATTGAAGGTAAATCAAGGACTGAGTGTATTCTGTGGAAGAGGAGGTTGAGGGATGGCTGTGATCACATCGACGCTCAGTGGAATGAGGCTGTTCAGCTCACGATGTGCGCTTCGGTGGGAGTTTCCGCTAGAATGCTTGTTGTCCCTTCTTCTCTTGGTCTTGAATTGGATGCTTCACATTTACGGTTGTCATTGCACCGTGCAAATCGTCCCTCCAGTTCATTGAACTACTTACTGCTTGAAGTGAAGAACATGTCTCACCCAACTTGGCTTTCCTACACTAGAGCTCAAGGCATTCTATCATCTCTTTCACTTCCTTTGCTTCAGTAGACTTCATCGTGATTCCACTAGCCTTGTTCTCGCTGCCAGTCTGCCAAGAGCGTAGGGCATACAATCTCCGGTAATCTGAGCTGCTAATGTGTTTGCATGATTGTCCGTGAGGCACGTGATCGTGACATCTATCAGTCTCTTTGAATTTGTGCTCTCTGCAGCTAGGCGTCGCTCCGGCGCTGGGTTTCAACACAACAGTGGACACGACACAGTAGGAGAGTTCGAAGCGCAGTAGGATGTCGTCTTCTACATCCCAATCCATAGTGCCTGTCGGGCCTGCCCGGAATGCTAGCCCGAGGGACAGGGATGGTGGAGATGGAGACGGAGGATTGAGAGAGAGGGCCAGAGAGAGAGATAGGGAAAGAGAGGGAGACAGAGACAGAGATAGAGAGAGAGACAGAGACAGAGAGAGAGAGCGTGAAAGAGGGAGGGATCGAGAAAGAGAAAGGGAAAGAGGCAGAGATAGCCCAGCCCGTAGTCCATTGCCTGAAACTCAATCAACTCCAGGCTCAGGAATCAGGCGTGGATTATCCCGTACATTCACCACCGCAAACAACAATGATGTGTTTGACAGTGAAGTCGTCCCGTCTTCTCTCTCAGCAGTTGCTCCCATTCTTCGTGTCGCGAACGAGATTGAAAGTCATCGGCCGCGAGTTGCTTATCTCTGTAAGTATTACGTGGCAGTTTTGCGACTTATCATTTACGCCTTTCCTTCTCTCCCGCGAAATACTGGAGTTACTGCGATCATGATATTCCTGGGAGTCCTATCGTTCTAGCCGGTGTCCTTTATTTTGAGGAAATCAAAACCCCGTGCAATGCGCAGAAGAGATTGCACACCAAGTAGCTCAATTTTTGTCAGGGTTGCGTGATTTGGCTGATTAGGCGGTCAATGTTGAAGGAAACATTTCCGCTACACTATTTGTCTCTGATTGAGTAAATTTGTTCGTTGAGAAGGTCGGTTCTATGCGTTCGAAAAAGCCCACAAGCTCGATCCAACATCTAGCGGAAGAGGAGTGCGGCAGTTCAAAACATCGCTGCTTCAGAGGCTTGAAAGAGTACGTTTTTTGTGACCCGGCATATCTTCACGAGCATCAGATTTCATGTGAGCGTGATTCTGATGTAAGTGACGTATCAGCATAGTCAATGAAAGTGCGTCAGCTAGTTGTCCCGACCTATGTCCACAATAATGCGGAGGGTCTAACGGCGTACTTATCGCCTGAATATCTGGGATCGGAAAAGTATCATTTCAGGTTTCTACTTCGAATGAGGTACAAATGTCAATGCATATATATGGCCAGGTGCTCCAATGTTAAAATCTTGCAGAATGTGTATGGCATTTTAAGGACCGACCTGCTTTCTGATCTGACAGGATAATATACCTACACTCAGAGCACGGCAAAAACGGAGTGATGCACGCGAGCTGCAAAGCTTTTATCAGCAGTACTATGAAAATTACGTGAAGGCCTTAGATGGAGCCGAACATTCTGATCGGTAAGTCACGTGATCATCCTGCACATGTTATGAAAACTGCTGTGCAATTTGTCGTGCTCTACAGATCTGTAATTTATTAAGTGCATAATGACTAACGAGATCAGATAATGAGCTCACATTCAAATTGTCAAAGTGTCGATATTCTTTTGAGTTAATTTATAACGATACATTTACCTTCAATCCTCGTCTTTGTTGGGTTCTATTATGTTTTACATCATCCCAAATTGCGTCATTATTCGGTATGTCCATGTTTGCTGCCAGAAATGAACTCGTAAGTGTTTTAATGAAAATAGTCATTGTGTTTATGATAATCTACTGTCTTAATCGATAATAATCTACTAGCTCAGAAGGAGTCGGGACATGAGGACTGACCGGGCCAGCGGAAACGGTGCCAAGAGCTGCTTCTAAGTCAAAGTGATGCTTTGCAGTATAATGGTCCAGATTGATACATTGATCTAGTTGAAGTTTTTATTCTTTGATTAATTTTTTTTTTCACCGATTCCAATATTTAGTAAAACGCGCTTTGCCCAGCCAAATAAGAATCGTTTTTTTAATTTGCGCTCTTGAGTCGTTCTGAGAGATGTGGGGAGAAGGCGGAAAACGAGAAAAGACCATAGCGCCGCGACCAAGGGGCTTAGGGCCTGCGTCGCGTCGTAGAGTCAATGTACACCCAGTGCCGAATATAGTAATATTATTTATTTACTTTCATTCTCTTGACGACCAACGACTACAGTCCCATCCACATGTCGATGATAGTTGAATCTCGACCAAGAGACTGAGGGCCTGCGTCGCGTCCTACAGTCAATGTCCACCCAGTGCTGACAATAATAATAATATTTATATACTTTCATTCTCTTGACGAACAACGACTACAGTCCCATCCACATGTCGATGATAGTTGAATCTCGGACTAAGCAGAACACAAAGTGGAACATATTAATTAAAAATTTTGAATTTAGGATGACAGGAGGTTTACAACCTTAACTCGTAAGCCATTATGGAAATAATTATTGACTTCTGCATGGTACTGTTTTACTCTTTCAGTGCCCAGCTGACAAAGGCTTACCAGACTGCTGGTATCCTCTTTGAGGTTCTGACCCAAGTCAGCAAGAGCGAGATGGCAGAGGCTCCTCCGGAGGTAACATTTCTCTGAGAGAGTCAACACATTGAAGGATTGTGGTTACTCAGATTTATTTGATTGTGATTGGCTGCCCGTCTGCTCTATGAATTTTTTGTCATCGGATTACAAGTAAATTCAGCTGGTTTTACCCCTGGTCTTATATCTTTCTGATGTCACAATCTGCTCTCTCTCATCGCAATTGTGCAGATTATTGCTGCTGGTAAAATAGTAGAAGAGAAGCAGGAGATTTATCTTCCGTATAACATTCTTCCTTTAGATGCGGCCGGAGCCTCACAAGCCATCATGCAGCTACCTGAGGTAAAATCATGCACTACAGCATTCGCGTTACAACAGAAAATTGCAATAGTCCTGGAGTCTTGTTACGAACGAAAAAATTGTCTTGATTCTGATATTGAAGAGCCTCGATTGCAGATCAAGGCAGGTGTGGAAGCTCTCCGCAACATCCGCGGACTTCCTTGGCCATCACAGATGGAGCAGGCCCGACATAAGTCTGGTGAACTTGATTTGTTGGACTGGCTGCAGTGCATGTTTGGTTTCCAGGTGCGTATTATAGTTGTCGGTTTTACTTTTTGTGTGTGTAGTTGCACTGTCATTCTGCAGAAAATGTAACTACTAAGAAATATTCCATGACTTGAAGGTACAACTAATGCACAATTACATCATTCCAAATCGCCAGGTTCTCTCATGCACCTCGTCCATATTGTTCAATTAAAGTTTTGTAACTAGGCACTGTGTCTTACTTTTGGCACGACAGAAAGACAACGTCAGGAACCAAAGGGAGCATTTAATTCTGATGCTCGCTAATGTGCACATCCGACTGATACCGAAAGCGGAACCAATGAGCAAGGTAATTTTACTTAAAAAGAAATTTCCGAATGGAAATTTCTATCTGTCTGTTAGAGCATCATCGTTGTTCTCGCTCCGTCGCTTATTTCACGCACCTTATGCAATCTGAGTCTCTCGGTTCAAAGATTACATCGTGATTAATATATACATTGTTGCGTTTGTTACTTTTGGAAAAGTCCAATCTTTCAATTGAATTCTCCTATCTGTCTGTTAGCGCATTATCGTCTTCTCGTTACGTCGATTATTTCGCGCAGCTCATGCAATCTAAGTCTCACGGGCTCAAACGGTGAATTATGACCAATATTTGCACTATTGCGCTTGAGAGGAACGTTTTACGATCAGTCTAAAGTCAAGGGCAGTTGCACTTAACGATCGGTCGACTGTTTTTCGTGGCCGTATTGAAGGGCAGCTCGAGGATCGTGCGCTGAACGAAGTTATGGACAAACTCTTCAAGAATTACAAGAGCTGGTGCAAATTTTTGGGCCGCAAGAACAGTCTCTGGTGTGTACTACCATCCACTCGAATTGTGTTTCAAACTGAAGCAGGCTTATCTCATGAGGATCTAACGCCGTTTTCTCCCTTCATGTCAATATGATAGGTTGCCAACTATTCAGCAGGAGATTCATCAAAGGAAGATTCTGTATATGGGTCTTTATCTTTTGATATGGGGGGAAGCTGCAAATCTACGCTTCATGCCGGAATGCCTCTGCTACATTTATCACAATGTGAGGGTCGACTTTTTTTTTTCGAATTCCGTTTCAAGAAGTTTTCCACATTTCCCGAGGAAGAGTCGCTTATTGTTAGTTTGATACTGTGAAGTAAGTAAATCTGTTCCGTGGGCTTATTCAGATGGCTTATGAGCTGTATGGTATGCTGGCTGGTAACGTGAGTGTGGTAACCGGAGAAAATATAAAGCCAGCATATGGTGGGGAGGATGAATCTTTCTTAAAGAAGGTCATTACACCTATTTACGACATAATTTTTAAGGTAACTCACGAATGGACATGAGTACCATGATGTTTTCAAGAAATCGCATTAATTCTTGAATGTCCATTCAAGAATTCACTCAAGTGTACTCACCATGCCGCTGAATTCCAGGAGGCTAAGAACAATGGCAATGGGACTGCTGCCCACTCAGCTTGGCGCAACTACGATGATCTAAACGAATTTTTCTGGTTTGTCTCTTCACATTTTTAAGTGGAATAATCAAGCAAGTTCAGGAAGTACTCTTAATCGAGTAAGGACAATCAGTTTTGGAGGATTTATTAGACTGTAGGTCTTTGGGTGATACTCTGATTGCCAACGAGGAAACTTACTCATAGGTCCTTACATTCTCATGCTTGTATCTGATTTTCAGCGTAGGAATTATCCTTCTTCAAATTTTGTTTCTCATTGCATCTGAGGAGTATTACGATTTTGCTCTATTATCCATAAAAAGTCTGTTCTGTTTGTGTACGTTCTTCGAAGTGTTTCAGACTATTGATTTGAAAAATGATATACTCGCAGGTCTGTCGACTGCTTCCGTCTTGGATGGCCGATGCGGCTTGATGCCGACTTCTTTGTACCACCTTCTCAAACTAGTCTTTCTTCCAAATTGAGCATTGGTGTAAGTTTGATTGCCTCGTGCCTGTGTAAAGAACTTTGAAGAGTGGTCCGACCGTCTTAACTTTTGATTCTTTTCATCATACAGTTATGGAAGAGTTACTTGCAGCAAATTTCAGTCTGGTTGGTTGTCCACTTGCGATGGTAGATGACTGCTATTATATGATTCGACATTGGTGCATGACAAGTACATGCCGCCTTGCTTGTGTAGAAAGGGGGAAAGGTAGCCTCATCCAGACGTCTTGGAAAGACGAATTTTGTGGAAATCCGCTCTTTCTGGCATCTGTTTAGAAGCTATGACCGCATGTGGACTTTCTACATATTAGGCTTACAGGTATGGAGTACTACCAATCTCTTGAAATATAAGGTTCACTCATGTTATAAGAACTCTGTGTGGTCATGGTGCATCACACTACAGAGATCTTCCAGTCTCAAGTCGGTTGATACAAAACATCAAATTGGGGGACCAATTTATTAAAACCGAACCACGATGCTGATGTCTCCACATCTGTGTAACATGGTGGCACCAGTAGTATACTCGTTATGTGTGATATTTCTGAACTGGCACATGCAAGTGACAACCTTACTTATTTGTGGCTTTTGTTCAGGCTATGATTGTAATGGCCTGGAATATCGAGGGTTCTGGAACCTTTAAGTCCACTTTTGAAGGAAACAACTTCAAGAGAATTCTCAGCATCTTCATCACAGCTGCTATCTTGCGTGTCATTCAAGGTATGTATGTAAAACCTGCCAATGAAATGTCTTCAGAGGAACTGAATCAGGCGTAGTTTGGGCAAGCAAGCGACTTCCTCATTTTTCCTTGCAATCAGCTTTCATGTTATTTTATACCCTGGGAATCGATATACATATGGCATAGCTTGGAATATAATCATATCTATCAAAAGAATAAAATGCATTCCAAATTTGTTAAAATTTCGCTCCATTCGTAGTTGAGGAATCAACGATTTATGGCGATTCTGTAGGTCTTCTGGATATCGCAATGAGCATGAAGGCATATCGCAGCATCAAGTTCATGGGCATGTTGCGCCTCTTCTTGAAGCTCCTAGTGTCCATTGCCTGGGTGATTGTGCTCTCTGTGTGCTTCGTTCATACTTGGGAGAATCCCACTGGTCTTATCAAGAATGTCCAAAACGTGCTGGGGAGTAGTTGGAAGAATCCGTCTCTGTATATCACAGCTGTCGCCATCTACTTGCTGCCGAATGCGCTAGCGGCTGTTCTCTTTGTCTTCCCCTTGATGCGAAGGTGGATTGAAAATTCGAATTGGCGAATCGTTCGTTTACTTCTCTGGTGGTCACAGGTGCGAATCGAAATTTGCAAATCTTGTCTGCCACATGTCCAATTATTGTTTGTTATGTTGGTTTTTTGGTTTGAGTGCGGTGCACCTGTACCACACTCCGTGTTGAACATGGATGACAAGTTTTGTTTCGTGCTGCAGCCTCGTCTATACATAGGTCGTGGGATGCATGAAAGCCAATGGACACTGTTCAAGTAAGTTGTTCTCTATACGACCTGTGCTTGCTAACGTTGAAGTGCCTATGATATACATATCTTGATATAAGTTTGTACTTTTAATGAATGTGATACTCCATACGTAATTTAGTGAAAGAAATCATTTTACAAAATATGACTGCTGCCTTGCAGATACACCATGTTCTGGATATTGCTTCTGGCAAGCAAGTTTGTGTTTAGCTACTTCATTCAGGTATGTAGGGTAGAGAGCTAGGTCTACATTACTTAACAACTATGGCATTTTTTGATTGCTTCACGTATTCGTCTACGGCTTTGCGGCGATCAACTTTGTAAAACTATCGGCTGCGTTTGTAAATTTTGTACTGAGCATAATCTGATGGAATATTTTGATGTGAAGATCAAACCTCTTGTAAAACCAACCAAGACAATCATGAACGACAGCTCCATCCAGTTCACTTGGCATGAACTATTTCCGAATGGTACGTAAAAGTAACTCTCTAGTCTTATGTCTTTCAACCAGACACGTATGTGATCAAACAGTCTGTTCTATTCGAGGCTAAAAGAGTGACGTCGAACTTTTTCATCTGGAGACGTTTTAATAGCTGTTTTAGTCTCGTTCACAATAGCTTACAAGCAGTAAAGAATTGTCGTTTGTTTTCAGTCTGAACAATGTAAATGAGTCTAACGTATTTCTGCTTGGAAATCTCTCAGTTAAAAAGAACATTGGAGCCATTATAGCCATCTGGGCGCCCGTAATTCTGGTAACTCCAGTCTTTATCTTCAGCCTGCTTTTCTGAACCGTAACTTCCTACAGCTGTCTTTTATATATGTGCTGCATGTGTAGAAACACTTGTAATTTTGCGAGGAACGTGGTTCTCCACTCAACCGCAGTTTGTCTAACGCTGAAATTGTGGTTTGATGTCTCAGGTGTACTTTATGGATACTCAAATTTGGTACTCAGTGTACTCTACGGTATTTGGTGGAGTTTCTGGAGCGTTTAGACGTCTAGGAGAGGTGGGAATAATCAACATTCAAGATTTTGGTGTGCAAGTGATTGAATAATGGCCTCACAAAGATCTGATTTCTCCGAATGTTCATTATCTTTTACTACAGATTCGAACTTTGGGAATGTTGAGGTCTCGATTCCGCTCCTTGCCCGGTGCTTTCAACGCGAATTTGGTTCCAGCAGACAAGGTCGCGAGGAGAGGTTTTTCACTTGCTCGTGGTTATAAGGAGGTATGGTTCTTTTGAGAGTCTGTAAAGGGACGGGCAATGCTACGTGGTTACGTAGCATGTTCTTTCAGAGTTATTGTTTTTTGAAGCAATTTTAATACGTTCCTCGCAAGGGTCTAGTTGTTACCTATTAATATCTTAACAAAGCTACTCACTGAATATATTAACAGGTGCAACCAGGCAAAGATCGAAAAGAAGCAGCGAAATTTGCGCAGCTATGGAACGAAGTCATCACCAGTTTCCGAGAAGAGGATCTCATTAGCAACAAGTAAGATCCATGGTCCATGTTCTTTACAGGAGCCAACTACAAGTACTCCCCTTTATGAATTGTTATTCCTTCGATGTTGGGTAGGAATAACAATTTAGCTGCTTCCGTCCACATTTCTGGGATGTGGGGTACACAAAATATAGGAAGCATATGCGAAGTCATGGTCGTGCTGAAGTTTGAGTTCCACTTTGTGGCAGGGAGATGGACCTCATGCTTGTGCCATATTCATCAGTCAACCTTACTCTCGTGCAATGGCCACCTTTTCTACTGGCTAGCAAGGTCGGTCCATCTGCCATACATGTTCAATTTCATCAGTTTATACTTACCTCACCGATTGATGGTTCATAACAGGTAGTAATCCTATGACTCGCGTGGTTTTGACCGTTGATGTGTATAATGCAAAACAGATACCAGTTGCGCTGCAAATGGCTGTTGAACACCGAGGTAGAGATATGGACTTATGGCGCAAAATCCGAGCAGACGATTACATGCGTTGCGCCGTTGAGGAATGCTTTGAATCATTTAAGCATGTTCTCGGCACTATCTTAGTAGGAGAGGTCGAAAGAAGGTACACACTTTTTACTCATTGTTCTTATACGCCTTATACGCGAAGCTTTTTTTTCTGCACACTAGACATCAGGACAAGCTTGGAAATTCGATTCACACTACAACTTTGTTCTCGCAGGCTTGTCATTGACGGCATTTTGGAGGAAATTGACAAGGATATATCTGAAGGAAGTCTACTTTCAAATTTCAAAATGAGCGCATTACCCGTTCTTCATAGCAAGTTCGTCCAGCTCACAGAATTTCTGGTAAGAAACGAAGAGTACTGCGTTATTACCGTTTTGCATTGAACGGATTTCTACAGACCCATTTTGACCGATGTGTTCTGCTAAATGAAACAGATCAAGGGTGAGGCAGACAAGCGGGATTCTGTTGTCTTGCTTCTCCAGGATATGTTCGAGGTTGTCACCAGAGATATGATGAACGAGACAGCCAGGTCTGACCATATAACGTGTAAACCATTGTTTCCTAAGTTTCTGAGAATTCAGCGATTGCGCATTGTAAGTATTGAAAAGTCTTGAGTTGCTACGTCTTGGACGCTTACGTGTGTGCTTTCGTAATTTTTTTCTTTAGGGAATATTTGGAGTCAACTCACGGGCCTCTTTCAATTTCTGGGAAAACATCGAAGGATGTCAAAGATCACCAATTGTTTGCTGCCACTGATCCGAAGCCAGCCGTCCTCTTCCCTCCACCTGCTACTGATGCGTGGATTGAACAGGTGATTATACTTTTTTCCGGACATATAGCTTATCAAACTCTGCATATCAGAAGGTCAATGTTCTTTTGGCTTCTAATCGTGAGACGCTTTGGCATCTTATACTACTCTTGCTTCTGATGTTACAAGTACATGTGTCAGGACACAAGGAGTTATATATGTATAATGTACTTCGAAAATGTGTTTGGGATATGGTTGTTGCTTGCGTTGCTTTTGTATCCCACTTCCTCTATTAGAAAGCTTGTGTACTGTGTTTCTAATTTATTTTCTGCGCAGATCAAAAGACTTCACCGGCTTCTCACGGTGAAAGAGTCCGCAATAAATGTGCCAACTAACTTGGAAGCTAGACGACGTATAGCTTTCTTTACCAATTCTCTTTTCATGGATATGCCGCGCGCACCACGCGTCCGTAACATGTTGTCCTTCAGGTAAAGTACACGATGACAATCCGCTGTGTGTGATGTTTCCTGATTTCTGTGATACAATCGAGCGTCTTCTTGGTCTTGAAATGCCGGACTCATCTGCTATTGGGCTGAATGCAGTGTACTCACACCATACTATCAAGAGGAAGTAGTGTATTCCAAGAAACAACTCAATGAGGAAAACGAAGATGGTATTTCGGTCTTGTTTTATCTTCAGAAAATTTATCCAGGTGAAGACATTTGTTCACTTCCATCTATGTGAGCTTTTGTAGTAGAAGGAAAATTCATCGTACGTACGGACGATTGGGCTTGAAGTGGTTCCTTCTGACTGTTGGTAGCCGCTTGTGTCTATCGGCAGATGAATTTGACAACTTTCTGGAGAGGATCAACGTGACATCAGAACATGAGATTTGGGACAATGAAGAATATGAAAATGAACTGCGTCACTGGGCATCTTACAGAGGACAGACGCTTTCAAGAACAGGTAAATCACATGCACCGAATAAACGTGAAGTTCGCAAATCCTCTCAAGGTTCAACTTCAGTTTATCAAATTCAGATTTTTTAATGGTCTTGCCGTCGCCTCCTCAGCTCATTTCTTACAAATTTCCTTACATCCTCGCAGTCAGAGGAATGATGTATTACAGGCGGGCTTTGGAGCTACAAGCGTTTCTAGACATGGCTTCTGATGATGGTAAGTTATGAGTGACTCGAGGCATGAGTCTGTTTTACTATATGGGTGTTATGCACCCATGTTGATGTAGATGCTATCTGGGAATTCTTGCTCAGTTAATATTTCATCTTACACCATCACTTCCTTCTCTTAACCATTACAACTTCTGTCCTAATACGTTCAGTTTTCATGGCTGTGCTTCAGAGCTTGTTGATGGCTACAAGGTTGTTGCAAGTGCACCTGCGGAAGCAAAGAAGAGTCAGCGGTCAATGTGGGCCCAACTGCAGGCAATTGCCGACATGAAGTTCACATATGTGGCTACATGTCAGATCTATGGTGCACAGAAGCGTGCTGCGGATGTCCGTGCTACTGATATTCTTAATCTCATGCTCAAGTAAGTTGGCGACGTCCTAGTATAGTCCCTAGGAAAAAGACGGCATAAGATCCTCGCATCTGTAGTGTTTGTGTAGTTCGTAGATCCTCGTGAGCTCCCAAACCCTTGGTGCATGGGAATAAGAAAAACCTCAAAGAATCTTCGTGAAAATAGATTCTGCATCAATAGGGATTCTCCTCGATGGATGAAAGATTCGGGTAAAACTTCACGGTCAAGTTTGGCATTCTCAAAGATCTGCTTAGGGACGTTTCCGACCGGAGTTGAACAATTTCGCTTGATATTTTACATGTGATATGTGCAGCAATCCTTCACTCCGAGTTGCTTACATCGACGAAGTTGAGGGGCGTGAGAAAGACAAAAATCAAAAAGTGTACTACTCAGTGCTCGTCAAGGCCTCAAATGGTTTAGATCAAGAGATATATCGTATCAAGCTCCCGGGTATAGTAAAATTGGGAGAAGGCAAGCCGGAAAATCAGAATCATGCCATGATCTTTACCAGGGGAGAGGCACTACAAACCATTGATATGAATCAGGTACGTAGTTAAATCGTTATGTAATTTCCATGACCAGGCTTCATGATACACTACTGTGCCAAGATAATACTTAATCTTCATATGATATGGTAATGGCTGTGCACACAAGACGAGCAGTCTTTTATACCTGTTATGTAAGTAGATTATCCCATTGTCTCTACTACAGCGCCATCCATTTTCCACTTTTGACAGGACAATTACCTGGAGGAAGCTTTTAAGATGCGCAACCTTTTGGAAGAGTTTCACGAACCTCATGGAGTCAGGCCTCCCACCATCCTGGGTGTGAGAGAGCACATTTTCACTGGAAGGTGAGCATACGGAAAGTTACTATCTACCATTGCAGTCATCCCTTAAGCAAATAACTTTTAATGTTCTCAAGAAACTGACGTAAAGTGTCGGGATGCAGTGTTTCGTCTCTTGCTTGGTTCATGTCGAATCAGGAAACCAGTTTCGTAACTATCGGCCAGCGGGTCCTGGCCAGTCCATTGAAGTGAGTCCCTACCACCACTCTTTTTCGGGTTTAAGCAATGATACCTCATAATAGTCTTAGAATTAATATCTGGAATTGACTTCTTGGTAAAGGTTGAGAGCGTATTGAAAATCGTCGTAGGAAGTAGCATCGAGATCAGAATCTAAACCTGCGTCGATTTTTTCAGAGTTCGATTCCATTACGGACACCCCGATGTCTTTGATCGCCTCTTCCACATCACTCGCGGTGGTATGAGCAAGGCTTCTCGCGTTATCAACCTCAGTGAAGACATATTTGCAGGTAAATACGGCAGATTATTTATTCATTTTGTCCTTTGTTTTTTTTGCTCAGAAACATTGCACCGAATTCTCTGATCTTGCTTCATTTTCTAGCGCAAGTCTGGGAATGGAGAACGCTATCATCCTGTAAGAAAGCACTTAATTGCAAAATCGGAGCCTTCTGTCAGCAACATGTTTCAAAAGTGGTGTTTTTATGACCTACTTCCTCCTAACGTGTTTGTGTTTGTGGACTGCCATTGAGATCAGGTTTCAACTCCACTTTGCGTAGAGGAAATGTTACTCATCATGAATATATCCAAGTGGGTAAAGGTCGTGACGTGGGTCTGAACCAAATTTCATTATTTGAGGCCAAGGTGGCTTGTGGGAACGGCGAGCAGACCTTGAGCCGAGATATGTATAGGCTTGGTCATAGGTTTGACTTCTTCCGAATGATGTCCTGCTACTTCACAACCATTGGCTTCTACGCCAGCACGGTGGTAAGTGAAATACTTGATTTAATTATTTCCCGTTAAATCACAATGTGAACTTCATGATCATCTGTACTTCATTTGTCACTATCATCTGCAATGTTGCCCATTTTGAAGACTTCTGATGACATTTTTTTACGTCTTGCTCAGATTGTGGTGCTTACTGTCTACGTGTTTTTGTACGGTCGTATCTACTTGGCTCTGAGTGGAATCGAGAAGTCTTTAGTGAATAGTGCTGATGTGAACAACGACCCAGCACTACAAGCAGCTCTGGCATCACAATCTCTTGTGCAGCTCGGATTGTTGATGGCCTTGCCAATGGTTATGGAGATCGGGCTCGAAAGAGGGTTCAGAACGGCTTTGAGCGACTTCATTATCATGCAGCTCCAGTTGGCATCAGTGTTTTTCACCTTTTCTTTGGGTACAAAGACTCACTATTACGGTCGGACCATTCTTCACGGAGGTGCAAAGTACCGCGCGACAGGAAGAGGTTTCGTCGTAAGGCATGAAAAGTTTGCCGAGAATTATAGGCTCTATTCCCGCAGTCACTTCGTCAAAGGTATAGAGCTCATGATGCTTTTGATCATCTACAGCGTGTATGGAACTTCGGCCAAGGGGGGAGTCCCGTACCTCCTGATTACCTTCTCAATGTGGTTTTTAGTAACCACTTGGCTTTTTGCACCGTTCCTGTTCAATCCCTCTGGATTTGAATGGCAAAAGATTGTGGAAGATTGGGATGATTGGAGCAAATGGATCAACAACAGGGGTGGTATTGGAGTGTTGGCCACCAAGAGTTGGGAGTCATGGTGGGAGGAAGAACAAGAGCATCTGAAGCACACAGGACTAATGGGTCGAGTTTTGGAGGTCCTTCTTTCAATCCGGTTTTTCCTTTATCAGTATGGTATGGTGTACACGTTGAGCATCGCCGGTGGGAGCACAAGCCTTAGTGTAAGTTTTGAAGCTTCCTTTGAAGCCACACTGCGTTATAAAACTAGAGATTACTAGAGATGACTAGAGATTCTGAAACTGTACACCGAATAGATTAGACTTTGTCGAGAAATCATTTAGAACCTTGTATTTGCACAAAAGTACATGCGGGATAAGTTTAAACCCCAGCGATGGACCTTCTTCTAACCACGTTTTATGGATGCGTGTACTGGGAACAGGTCTATGGTTTGTCATGGCTCGTTATAATTGCTGTTCTGGCGGTCTTGAAGGTACAGACTTCGCCTTTTCCGCGAAATTGAAACTTATATAGGCCAGATACCAGCTTGTGTGGAGTGTGTGAACGGAATAGTCATAGAACAAATTACTTGACCCTACGGCTTGTATATATTTGCTCTTCATCATGCTGATCTTTAGCACTGGCCCGACCACATGATTATTGTCCATTTTATACCAAACATGTGTCTTGTTATTGAACAGATTGTGTCGATGGGAAGACGAAGATTCAGCGCTGACTTTCAGCTGATGTTCAGACTTTTGAAAGCACTTCTTTTCATCGGCTTCGTGACTATAGTGATCGTGCTGTTTTTGTTCGCCCAATTGTCAGTGGGTGATCTCTTTGCAAGTCTTCTAGCTTTCTTACCTACGGGATGGGGATTGTTAATGGTAAGTCCGACTCACCACTTGAGTGTACTTTGATTTGATGATGAAGCGATCGGGCTTGCAGGTGTGAAGGCGGACAGGACAATTAAGAAGATATGTCACGTCCTACGTCCCTAACCGATTTGATTATTCGACGTTTTTTGCAGATTGCTCAAGCCGCCCGCCCGTTAGTTGTGAGGAGTGGTATGGGGGACTCGGTCAAAGCTTTAGCTCGTGCGTACGAGTTTATTATGGGATTGTGCATTTTCACCCCGGTCGCGATGCTGGCATGGTTTCCGTTCGTCTCGGAGTTTCAGACCAGGCTTCTATTCAATCAAGCTTTTAGCAGAGGTCTACAAATTTCTCGTATTCTTGCAGGAAGACGTAAGTCATCTTAGGACCGTACACTCCTGCATACGCTTGGCTTCAGTACCATTTTTGTTCGTAGAGAGAGCGAGGATAATCTCTGTCCACCTGTAGTTAGGACTAGGATTAGGACGGTCGTGGGTAGTGTAGATTAGTAGCACGTTCCTTAGTAATCTGCCCCATTTTCGAAAGATTGGAAGAACTTGTGTATACTAGACAGACATTCTTTCATCATTGTAAATCACTCTTGATCCCCAACTTGTCGTCTCCACTACTTTGGATTGACCTGAACGGATTCCGTTTATAGCTGTAGTAGCCACCATTATGTCGACATACAACGCCATACACAAGTGGCTCCGGATTGTAATGGATTGGTGATGTACAAGCGGCCGATGGTTCACACGTCTGATCCGGCTCTGGCTTTTAGCCGTTACCACCTATTTAATATGAAATGAAATTTTGAAAACGCCTGGTGTGTACGTGTCCTGTGATTGATTGATATAAGAGTGACTGGACTGTCCGAGATGCGCACACTCACTCAACTCAGCTCATATATCAATCCTTCATGAAAGCTGAAAAATTACGCTAGAAGGCAAAGTCCGAGGATGGTGCTCATTAATACATAGAGCGCCAATGTTCCAAAGTTATTCATTCAATACACCCCAGCAAATGGTAATGGGTATGAGGTAGATTCTTATGGAAGGAGGAAACAAAAAAGAGCGGTGAGAGCTAAAGCGTGAGAACGAAGGAAACACATAACCGAAAGGTAATAATTGTCGTGCCGAAGCAAGGAGGAATTATGAAACTCATTTCTAGAACCTCTCTCCTAACTCGACCGCCCGCATCCTAGTGGCGCCCGTCCTGCGTGCCTGCCTGCCTAGCTGACAGCGATGCTCGCGAAGGGCGAAAAACACGGCCGATGACGAGGGACGAAGCCGATGGACGCAGTTCGCACAGCGGTTAGCGTTAGGCCAACCTAGGAGGCCACAGCGCAGCACAGCAGTCGGTCGGTTGACCCCGTTAGGCAGGACATTCTCGGCGCGGTCTGTGTCAGGCAGTTCTACACGTGGATGCGCGGAGGGCTCATCATCCCGGCCCCGTCTTATCTTCTAGTTTATGACCCATTTATGCGTCGTTCCGATTTCCTTATTTTACATTATCCACTCCCGGCTCGTAAAAGCAACGCTAGATCTGTGTAGATATTATCTCAACCTGCCTTGCTCTCGTTTGTCGCTTTGCCGGTTGGCTCCGGATCTCTCCCTCCGGGCTCCTTATCCTGCGCTCGCTTCGTGGACACTAGGATCCTGCAGCCGCTATGAATCGCTGACCCGAGCGCGCTCTCAGTCTCTTTCTCTCGCTCTAATCCCCCCGAGCTCCAGAGGGTCCAGACCACCTTCGATCTGCCCTCGAGCCTCATCTCGTTCTAGGTTTTCGAATTCACGATGGCAGCTTCGTGCATCTCCGTGTCTATGGCCGCGGTGGCCCCCCTCGCGGCCGCAAGGTCGGTCGAGGCCACTGGCGCCAAGCAGAGCGCGCGCCTGGCCGTGCCGAGCTTCGGCGCTGGTGTCCGTTGCAGGCTCGACTCTGCGCCGCTCGCAAGGCTGTCGCTAGGCGCTGAGGCGCGCAGGGTGGGAATCGTGGCTCGCGCTGCCGACCTCGAGGAGGCTCCCGCGGCCGTGGCTGCGCCCGCGTCGACGAAGCTGTATGTTGGAAACCTGCCGTGGAGCATTCACAGCAAGGAGCTGGCCGAGATCTTCCAGGAGGTGGGCAATGTCGAGCTGGTGGAGGTCATCTACGACCGTGACACGCAGAAGAGCCGCGGGTTCGCCTTCGTGACCATGAGCACGGTGGAGGAGGCACAGAAGGCCATTGACGCACTGGAGGGCTCAGAGCTTGACGGTCGCGTCATCCGCGTGAGCTTTCCCCAGCCCCGCGAGCCCCGCACCGGCGACCGCAACAACGACAGGCGTGAGCGCCCCGCTCCTCGTGAGCGACGTGGAGACTTCTCCCCACGCGCCAGCGACTCTGAGACCAAGCTCTTCGTCGGTAACCTCTCGTGGGGAGTCGATGATGCAGCCCTCGACGAGCTCTTCCGCGAGCACGGTACCGTTCAGGAGGCGCGAGTTGTCTGCGACCGCGACACGGGCCGCTCCAGAGGATTCGGCTTCGTGAAATTCGCCACCCAAAACGAGTGTAACCAGGCCATCCAAGCCCTCGACGGAGCTGAGTTCGACGGCAGACCTTTGAAGGTTAACCCCGCGGGTGACAAGCCCGAGAGGAGAGACGGACCCCGCTACTAAAGAGAAAACGAGGTCGGTTCTTGAGAAGAGAAGAGATGAGATGACGTAGGAAAACGATTCGGTGAATTCTCTCGATTTTGAGGCTTCGTCGCCCGTAGGTCGGTCGCATCCGCAGCGGAATTCTTCTCCCGATGTCGATCGTTGTTCCGAGATTGATAGAGACTGCGCTGGCCTCGCTCGTCAGGTTAGAAATTTTTAGTTGGGTTTAGGGTTCAGGGTTCGGTGGGTGGCAGGGAGTGGTATATTCTTTCAGGCCCTCAGGGTTTAAACAGCAGTAACCGTTGTTCAGTAATATGCATACAGATTGACAGGCCGTCCCCACAATTTTTGGGGACGGGGTACAATTCTTCGTCTCGTGCCCTTCTAGGGCGGTTTTGATTTCCATCATTCCCGTCCAATGAATTTTGTCCATCATGTAAATAAAAACAATCCGCATGTGACGCGAAATTCTTGCAAGGCGCAGCATACTGTCAGCTCGCCATTGTCATGTACAATGTAGCCGTGATGTATCCCAGGACATGCACAGTAGTTCGAAACTTAGGTTAAATCATATCTGTGAACTGACATATGAAAAACTGTTCACAAGTGAAGAAAAGAAGATTGTAACAAAGAACATATATAACAAAATAAATAAAAAAAAACTTACGATAAGTGGGAAAGAGGAGAAAAAACAAAACTTAAAAAAAATTAACCAAAACAAATAAAATATCAAAAGTAAAGCACAAAATAAACTTGTATACCATATCTATATAAATTATATAAAACTGTATACTATGAAAAATTATGTATAGTAATAAAACTGTGAAAAAGGTATAAACACTGGTACGCATGAAAATTCGCTTAGAATAATTTTGAATAGTTCATATACTTTGGTTTAGAGACATTTTTTCAAACCAACAAAATTACATATGTTGCGCACGATGATACTTCATTTTGCATATGTTGCGAACGGTGAAATTTGATTTTGCCTATGTTGCGAACGGTGAAATTTGATTTTGCATATATTTCATTGTAATTCTAACTGAAAATTACGGAAAGAAAATATATAATTATTTTCAAAAGAGTTTGAAAATGATGAAAATCATTTCTTCCGAATGTAATACAGAGCTTATTTTTTATGTCCATTTTTTGTATTCAAATTTTCCATCTTTCCTTTGGTTTATATTATTTATACTATGGGGCTGTTCTCTTTGTCTGCTGCTCATTTTGTCTAAGCACACCGGATGGTGATGACTGATGTCCATGCGCTAGCTGCGTAATCGATATTTCCTTATCAAAAACCAAACCAAACCATCCACGACATCAAACTTGTCACTTCGTCACGAAAGACTGAGTGCACAAACTGTCATCGACACAAAACACAGCACAAAGCACAAGCATCTGAGTGAACCAGGGCGTTCTTTCCTTTCCTGTGTATCAATCAAATATTACAATCTGTCGTCGTCGCAGTCTGCACTGCGGGGCTAACTGCTAAAACACGTCCACAGGACAGAACAAAATAGGAATGAAGGTTTCGTGGTAGACGTTTTGTTGACAAGAATTTTACGCAGAATAGGCCGAGAAGTAGAATCGTAGGTGCCTGGTGCCCGGCAGAGAAGACAGCAACGACGGGATACTTTCTTCCAGGAAGGTGAACGAGGAGGAATTTTCTCTGAATCATCTGATTTGAATGGAGTCGGTGAGGTAAGGAGGAGAACAATGAAAAAAAAACAGCGCAATGAATTCTCTAACCGCGGCGAGATCGGAAGTCATTTCCATTCCGAGAATAGATACAGAGCATTACAAAACAATGGAGTGTGCCTCAAGGCAGTGGCTCTTGCACGTTGCCTAGCCGGTTCAAATGGAGATACGCGTCCGTTCCTGTAAGATGCCAAATGGATTTCAGCAAGATAGTCTTGATCACTTTCGATGACTATTTAAGATGTCAAGATTCCGCGAATGAAATCTGCTACTTTATATCGAGACTTTACTGAGGCACAGAGAAAAAGGTCACATAAGGGCACGTAGTGCTTACCGTAACCCTCCATGGAGATGACCTGCAAGTCACCACCAAAATATCTGGCATACAGGCGACTGATAGGCAAGCCATAGCCATATCCGGCCATGATACTCGGTGTTTCTTGGAGCTGTCGCCCCTCGTCTGCCAAAGGCGATTTCGCAGTACTGTACAAATATGTCCAGATTTTTGGAAGTCCACTTCTTGGAATGCCACCTCCTTCATCAGAAATCTGGCAAAATACAGCAGCCAAAACGAAATTGCGGTGAGCTACATCGGTCCAGAGTAGGAACAATATAGCCTCTGAAATCGACAAGATCGTCAACAACATAAGACGACTCTCACCTTGATTGTGACATCTTCGAGACCATCTGCAACGACCACCCTTATCGGCGGACACTCATGGTCAGCGTCCATGAACCTTTCTTGTACGGCACGCAATGAGTTCTTTACAAGCTCAAAAAGCATCTGATGCAAGTGAGTAGGTACATAGCTGCATGACACAGAAGAAACCTATCAGAACCAAATTTAGGCAAACCAACACAAAACCAGAAATCCATTCCAAGTTCCAAATAATATCCAGGGAGAATAACTTGACTGCTTGGTCTTTCCGTATGCGCAAGAAGTAAAGAGAATCTCTGCAATCTACTGCATATCGTGGAATGATAAAAAGAAACGGGGTTTCCAAAAAAGGAAGAAAAGTTCGGCTCCGTTGTTTCAAATCTAATTGAAGTACCGCTGCGAGTTGAGGTACGGAGCTTGCATTTCTTCATTGTCTTATGCTTAAGAAACAGACCGGGTGATGGTCCAGACCCTAATGATTAATAGTTAAATGCATACAGGAATAGATCTCGCAGATCCTGATCCTGTACGTTTCATAATCAGCCAGGAAAGAGTGCACGCAAATTATCAAGAGAGTCATCATTCTCGTTAGACAGGGTTCTCTGGAACGGCAATTCGAGCCGCATTTATATCCGGACACTACGCCTGAAGCAACGGTGACGTCAAGAAAGAGGGAGAAAGAAGTCACGTCACTTACGCGAAGGAAAAGTTGGGATCTCCGTACACGTGGACTTCCGGAGCACTTCCATATGTCCTCATGCAAGCCGATCGGGCATCGTCAATGGCGTTTTGAGCAACTTCCACTGGAGAGACTTTCGTGCAGATCAGACCAATGTATCCAGAAGGATGGTTTTCCTGGTGTAAGGCCACGTGTTGTCCTGCAAGAAATAGAAGTGTAAGATAACTCCCAATCTAGCTGCTCTAGTTCCTGCGACAATGGAAAAATGTTCCAACCAGAATCATGATCGTTCCCTACAGACATGTACCTATAAGCATACGAATTCCGATTCGGGACATGTAGAACCGATCCAAAAACTGGTGAATTTCTGGAAGCTCATTCAGCCCGACTTTCCTTCCCAGGTCCTCCTTGAGCTCCTGGATACCCATAGCCATGGTGGGCATGACGTTGTTGTGACGTTGTTTGATGTGGGTAAGAAGCTCCGTGAAGCGATTTTCGTCTGTCAAGTTTTGGATCTCTTTAAAGCTTCTCAAGTCTTTGAAGGAATCGACATACCAATCGCGCACCTGACGCAAAGTACAAGGGATACGGGAGCTCGTTAGAGAACAGTCTGAAATCGACTGATACGTCATATACTCAGTACTTTGAATCAGTGATTAAACCATGTCATATTGAAGTCAAAGACCCACACAAAAAGCTGTCACAAATTTCCCAACAAGTTGTAATTAGGTTGAGAGGAGTGGATCTCTCAAAGATCAGTCAGAACCATGCAAGACCGACAGAACACATACTCCAGGACATGTGTGATGCGCGACTACATCCGCAGGATGTTCTTACAGTACTTAAGAACAAATGAAATTCAAGGCATACATCTCTAAACGACCATCGGCGGACTGGGACATGGTGTCTACATGGATATGAAAACAGCAAATCCAGCTATAAGGCTACTGTCATATTACTCGCATTCTTACGGCAAGAATAATTTCCACTGCTCTCAACTTTTCAGATGGCTTGCATGCGTTGCAGACTTTCAGCTTTGAGTAGAACAAGAAAAAAAGAAGCGAACGATACCAGTCTAGAGACTATAGTACAATAAAATCCTTCAGCCCGTGCGGTCAGACCAGCCATCAAGGACATGCGAAGAGAGGGTTCGCAGCCTTCTGTGTCATTTAACAATGGACTGACTAGCGACAGGCTGCCCTCGACATTCATCTGACTTGTTGACTGCGGCATGCGGGATAAATCTTATCAATTACCTTAAGTGATTTCAGTCTCTAGAACTACATGCACGCTCGCAAGCCTACATATCATAGAGTGCAAGTTTTGGTCCTCAACGTGCTAGGAGTGAAGCGAGATATAGGTTATTCGTAAGCCTGAGAGATAACATGTGCAGGTGAAAGAGAAAATAGTGACTGGATGTACCGTCAACACTGGAGCTTTGGTGGAGAGACCGTGCGGCAGATTCTCGAGTTCGGTGACGCGATGGGCCAACCTCACAGGCAGTTCTTTGTGAAGAAACTGGGCGGAAACCAGCAGATTTCTGCTGGTAGGGTATGCGCCGAAGTCCATCATATATTTAAGACTGACACCAGTCTGCTTTTTGAAACTGCATCTGTAAATGTCTTCCACCAGATTTCTAGACAACGTCTCGGCTAATCTTCTGACAGCCATTGCTGAAGAAGCCTTGGCAGGCATGCAACTCTTTTACGGTAGCGGCCGTCCAGCTTTTTTTTTTTTAACTAAGCTTCGATTACTTCAGCCCATGAATGATCTCCAAGTCTCGATATCATCGAAGCCCGCGATAAATTCTAGGTCCACAGCTTCGACCACCAGGGGGATCTGGTAAGATAATCCACGATTTCGACTCTAATTTTTACCATTCCAGTGAGCATAGCCACTTCGAGCAGAATGAGCTGATCTTCACTACGCCTTTCGAGAAAATACAATTGGAGCAGAATTCCTCCGGCCGAAAATCATTCAAACGTCCTGCCTAATCACTCACGCACGAAGCTAAACGTGCTCTTCCGTCGAGAGATAAGGCACGCGCTGAGCTCGACCGGAGAAACGCCGCCGCGCCGAAGCTCCACTTGCAACTTCACATCAAACTCTCCGCACTTCAGGTACAGCCTTCTGCCAGGCATTCTCCGCCGTCCTAATCCCGACGCACAATCCGCACCCCGAGAGCTCAAATTCCACTCTTCCGCTCCTCTCCGCTCTTCGCAAAGCTTCACTGCCACGCCTCATCCATCGCCGCCCCGCCCCGTCCCGCGCCTGTACGCCAACGCAAACGTCTCCCGCGGCCTCACCGATTCCCGAGCGCAATTCTCCCGCTGCGCCTGATCGCTCGCAGCTCCCCTCCCCGCCTCCCGTCCTCTCTCTCTCTCTCTCTCTCGGCCCGTCGGAAAAGGCCTGGAAACAGCAGCCGAGGGCGCGGCTCCCTCTCGGTCGCTCTCGCTTTAACTCTCTCCGTCTCGTCTCGTCTCGGTCTCCGGCTCCGTCTCCCGGTTGGATAACTCGCTTTAAGAAAAGAAGAAGGCGCTAGTGGAACATGGCTCTCTAGCTCGCTCGGCGCCCGCGGCCAAGCCAGGCAGGCGCGTGAACCCGAGGTGTGTCAGCTCGGCTCAGCTCGTCTGGGAAGGAGGCGAGGCACGCAGGCAGCCGGGCGACAGAATGTGAAAAGGGACAAAACGAGTCCAGAAGTGGCGTCCTCCTTTTCATGGTCGTCTCCCACGCGGGAGCAATGCGAAGCACGGCACAGCAAAGTAAAGCAAATCAAAGCAAAGCACGCGAGAAGCGAAAGCGAAGTGGCGCAACGTAGAGAGGCCGGGACGGAGAGGAGGAGAACGAGGGGAAGAAGAAGGAATCCTTGAGGAGAGCGACGAAAGGAAGGGAAGGGGAGACGAGAGGGTCGAGCAGAAGATGTGGACTCCGGCTTCGGGAACCCTGGCGACGACGCGTGTCGGACAGCGACGGTCTTGTGGGCCTGATTGAGGGGCCGACCGCAGTAGCCGAGTCGGCCCGAGATGGACTACGTGTGGTTGCGTGGCCTGCCGTGGTAATGGGATGAATGGTCTCACGGAGCGTTCCCCGGTTGTGGTGCACGTCGGCCCGTCCTCGTCATCCTCATCATTTCCGACCTACTTGGAGGCATCGAGTCCCTCCCTTCATCCTCCTGTCCTTCGTAGACATTCCCGGTCTGTGTCCTTCGTCCCTTCGTTCCTTCCTTCCCTCCCTCCCTCCCAGGGTTGGATAGGGTTTAGGGTAGGACCCTCAAGGACCCTCGAGGACGGCTTTGCCTTGCCTTACCTCGCCTCGGTTCCGACATGTCCTCGTGTCCTTTCGCGATTGGACGGAAGCTGGTCTGTCCAATCCCAGCAGGGGCTCTCCGGTCTCACAAGAGTTCACCCCATCCTACGTGTCCTGCCCGCAACGGACCGAGAGATTCAAGTCCATCCGGAAATATTCAGTGCGTCAGTCTCGCGCATGTGAATCTCGTCCTACAGTGTATCCTCGCTCCCGTCTTAACGAAGAAGACTGAGCCTTGGGCCCTGACTACGCTCCTGAAAAGCCGAGCAATGACACCACTGCCAATCTGCAGTATATTGCGACTTTCCTCATTTTATTTACTTCTGTTCGCCTTTCGGGCCCATTTAAATCACCCCCTTTCGTCATCTCTTTTTCCCAGCTTGATGTGATTGGTACAGTATATAGAATGTAGCCTCTATTTCGCCTTGTAAGTCGTAGGTCGCAATAAGAGCACACATAAAGTAATATATCTTCCGACGATATCATAAAAACAAAGAAATGTACCATCTCGCAGCATTTGCACATGTTTGATTTTAAAATCTTATCTTCGGAAGATCGACAATACGAACAATAAATCCACGAAATCTCATCTTCAAGGATTCCATGCGACAATCATGTTCGGGGCTCGGAACAGAAACCCTTTGTCCCATAATATTCTCGCAGTGGATCATGATTCAAAAGACGTACATTTCCATTGTCGCCGAACATGTAGTTCACCTGCAGTGATCAAGAGATCACATACCACAGTAGTTAGCATAGTACCCACATTTCAAGCAAGGTTGACGCCGGGGAGGTCATGGGCGGTGCCCTCTGCGTGTATCGCCGTCACTGTAAATATGAATACAGTACTTTAAGCCCAAATCAACGCTGCAGTGCATAGTTCTCATCAGTTTCTTCCTTACAGGATTGATGGGGTCGTCCCATTGTTTTTTCTATCCGCTTTCTCCCTAATCAGCGCTGGATTTTTGTTTGTTTTGGCTTGGGCGAGAGAAAAAGCCTGGGACGCTTTAGACCGGGCCAGTGAGCAGCCGGCGCTGGGGAACGACGCCCCCACATGCGGTTCATCACTGCAGGTGAACGCACGCCTAACCCCAAGTCAAGAGACCACGAGAGAGACAGAGGAAAAGCTTAAAAGTGACTTCCGGATAGAGCTCACAGAGGATGGAAAGCGAGTCAACATGAAGCTTCCATGGAGGTACACGTGGCATGGCCAAATAAGTTGATGCAACTGAAGCACAAGCCCTAATGGCGTTGAGAAAACGATCCCCGAGGCACAAAGAGTAATGACCGGGACGAAAATTTCGTGGATCCGGATGGCGACCGACGGCTTGCCCTTCGTGCTCCACCTACGACAACAGCCCGAGGGGTAAGTGTGAGCGTTATGAGTTCGTTGTGGACTATTGTCATCATCGCGCCCCTTGAGTTCCAAGTTTCTTCGACCTAAGTTCTCGTTCTTGATCAGTTCACCAAGAAGAAACTCGGCTTGCTTTTTGAGAAGCATTGTACCTTTGAACATCTCTTGCCATTAATACTTGAGAAAAATCGTCATTGTCAACAGTAGACAAGACAAGTACTTCATTGTATCGAAACTGGCTGCTTATTCTCTTTACTTATTTCAAAATATATTTACTTTTTTTTAAGAACATAAATCGTAAAAACTAGTGCATCGACATCAACACGGCTGCACTGCTCAACCAACTACTCTACAAAATATGTAGACCGTGTGTGTATATATATATATATATATATATATATGATGATGAAAATACGTGTAGAAGAAAAATGGGAGACGCATAGAAGAAAAGCGCCAAATGCCAAAGCAGTCAAGAGCCGAAACAATTGGGGGCAAAAAAGAAAAGAAAAAGCAGAGATATGTAGTCATCCCTCCTTTGATAAATCACTATATACTACAAAACTTATTGCAGGAAACTTCGATTCTTAGATCTCTTTGCGATTTGCCATTGTGTTCTGCTGACATCTTTCTAGCCGTTCACATGTCTTTACTTTCTACTTTTCTTAAGGTTCTGTTAGCATCAATTTTTCGGAATGGTTTCCAGTCAATTGTTTTATTCTGGACTTTTGGCTTTTTATACATGATGCTTTTACCCTCAAAGCTTGTTCTTTTCAACATTTTTTATCGTGATTTTACCAGAATTAAAATATCTCTTAATTAGACGGTATGTATGAAAAGGTGATCATCATCACCATCAATTAAAACACAATACATGTGCATTAGTTCTCTAATTTATTAGCGTCAGATCGTGATTTAAAACTTTAAATTTCTTTCTTTCTTTCTTTCTCAGTTTACAGATTTTATTTCACGTTTTAAATAGATTTAAGATTCAAAATGGCCTGAAAATTTCTTAAGAAATCTATTCATTTATGATTAAATTTTAGAAAAAAAATTCCGATTTTTTTCAAACCCTTTCACACGATGTGTGTATTGCTTCCCGCTAAATAATGTTAAAAGAAATAATTCGGTATGACATGCTAACATACTTTTTCTTCTTCTAGATAGATTTACAGTTGGGCCACGAGACCTACCTAGATCACATGACTTCATTGATTGTATTGGATACAACAACGAAGTTTCCAGGTCACTCCAACTGAACAATACCAATATTATCCTGTGATGAAGAAATCTTGAACTTGCCACATTCTCCTCTCATTTTCTAGTAAGTGACAGCAAACTACAACCAGTCTCCTTTCAGAGTGTGCCCACGAGTGTTGGAACCAAGATGTTACCTTGTAGGTAAATGTGCGTAACTGGTTATGATGGCTATGTTTACACGAAAAAGAAGTGTTCATGTTGGCACTTATCGACAAATCTTTGCAAAATAGAAATCCAAAGTAAATATGTCCTCCGACTAAGAAAAACAGTGTTTTTGAGTGGACGTACAACTTTACTCTATGTGGATTAATCAGCTACAGTTAACCTGCAAATAATGTTGAGGTAGATAGACTTGGTGAGCGATGTGACTCTCTTTGTGCATGTCCGTGGTGCATCTTCATCAATAAAGTTTTCCAGGATCTAGTCAAAAGTATTCTCTCTTGAAGCTGTGCAAATATTAGAAAGATTCTAGTTCAAAAACTGTGGTCTCTATCTTGGTTCACATAATGAAATTGTGAATTAATAATGTGAAATAATGAATTTACAAGCTACAATTAAATTGGCATTTTCAAGTGCGGATTCAAGAATAATGTTATTTCAAGATATAGATATATAATTTACATAAAACGGAAGTATTAAGATCAATGAACTAAAATATAATAAATATTCAGTGTGAAATGTTTACGGAAAACCAAAATGGACGTCATAATGATGGGGTATTTAATCATTGGAGATGGTAGAGAAGACCAGCTCTTAAAACAAAAACTATCTTCACAAGAAAACATCAGAAATCGTCAAATTGGAGATTTCATGTTCTTGATATGGTTCACACGCGTATGAAAGGGATTGGTTTGTTGTTGATGGAGGTCTCCTTGGCAGCGTGCTGAGTAAGTCAAGGACATGTCCAAGAAAAGTGGTTTGCACAGCAATCACTAGAGCCACTACACTAATCAACCATCAAGATTTCAAGGACATGAGGGATTCAATGATTCAACCGATGGCTAGTTTTGGAGTGAAAGTCCGATTCACGTCAAGGAAAATATGTACCACGACGTAAAATCTCTTGAACTCCAACGAACCAAATCTGATTCCAAACTTTCATTAGTTCACAATCGTTCGAGCTGGTTGTGTTTCTAAAGAAAGTAGCAAGCAAGATCAGAATCAAAGCTTTGGCCCTTTGCCAGCTCTGTAGAGTAGAAGTCAAGAATGAGAGAGTTTGTTGACCACATTTATCTCGAATTAGAAATGGTAACCTTATGCATCACGTTATTACGTGCACCCAGCAATATTCGTCCAATAAGACTGCCACAATGTGTGTAATAAATTCTTACCAAACTAAGAAATTTACATAAAGTTGCTTACTTTTGCTATCCCACTCTTGAGGGACATTAAGTCTCCAACCCCATCAGAAATTTTGCATCCTTTCTAAACAAAGGTCCCACATCCAGCTACATATAAAACTCCAATATTAGGATGTTAGAATCCGGTTTTTATCTTGCAAGAAGAACCTATTGAGTTCGGTTGACTTTTATTATCTTGGTCAAAAATTAAGATGTTTCGCCTTGTGATCTTGGGTTTCTCCAAGACAAAGATCGAAGACAGTTGAACATGCTTTGCTGTCTAGGAATTTTAACCTCAAGAAGCATCCTGTCTTACCAAAATAAAACTTGCAGATCGTTTCCATGATGCCACGGTACATGTTCCTCTCTCTCTCTCTCTCTCTCTCTCTCTCATAAATCTTGTTTGCTTCTAGCCATTTTCTATTTCCGCCTTAATGAATTTCCTCACAGACTTCCTTCGATCGAAGTAATCACCCTGAAGCTAAACAATATTTTATTTTATTTTCCAACTGCAGAGTCTCAACTGCTTGCATATTTTGTCCATGAGCTACTTTGTGAAAGTAGGAATGTGTGATGCTATGAGCTGTTAAAGTTTGAAATGCTAGGACAAAAGTCCTGCCTATAATACTATTTTCATCGTATTCCTCATTCCACATGTTCTTTTGTTGATAGAACTTTCTCAGAAAAGTTACACATCCATTACAAATTGTTCCTGCGAAAATTATTAATGATATTGAATTTTTAAAAAATTTTCATGAAAATATCTAATTGAATACTTGGAAATAGAATATGATTGAATAAATCCGAAATGGTTTATGGAGCTTTCCCGTGAAGGTGCCTCTCCATGTATAAAATCTCATTGGTCATTTAACGATGAAATCACTTTGAAAGAATAGTTTGATTTCTTCTTGAATATCAATAATTCGAAATTTCCAAAATTGTCATCTTACGAATATTCTAGCCTGTAACATCTCAATTTGACCTGATGTGTTCATCAGATGCACTTTCTTATAATAACTTAAGTATTTGAAATTTAAGATGTGAAAGAAGATGTTAAAATTTCTGAGACATGAATAAAATATCGATTGATCGAGATCATTTTTTGTTTATAAAATTTATAAATTCTTTGAAAGAAAATGTAATGTAAACGCACACAAATCTTATACTTTTTAAACAGAAAATTGGAGAAGCATGTCAACTATAAAAAATCAAGATATCGGCTTTAATAAGAAAATTCATAAAAAAAATGATAGGAAAAACTCATCAAATAACACATGCATAAAACCAAACTAAGAAGATAGAGCTAGCAAATTTATATGCATAGTACACTAATTTAGAATAACATGACATAATGTGATCAACTTATAATGAATTGGACTATCTCATATATATATATATATATATATATATATATATATATATATATATATATATATATATATATATATATGTGAGATTCTTGAATATACAATGTCTAATAAAATATACAAAAAATCTTAAAATGAAGCCAAACAATTGTATAGTGTGATTGCGTTTAGTTAGTTTTTAACATACAAGTCAAAGATGATTTTAACACAGACATAAAATTCCAAGTTTTATAAAATCAATAATCTATAATCAAATTATTTAAAACAAATATCACTTGTAATTATCTAGCTAAGTTGCATGCAACAATAACGGTTCGTCTGTGATTGTAAAAATTAATTCCTCTTTTTTCTCGTATCAAACGCCACATTCATAAGGATAATAATATGGACAGCTATACCATGACTTTCAAATGAACACTGAGATATAAATGAGTTATGAATAATTGCTGCATGTAAGATGAAACTGAATTAACATTAAAGCACATTAAAGCACATTATTGAACAAAAAAAGAGAAATCTTTATTGAAAACAACTAGCTTACGTCAATAATTTTGAGTTTGATTTAGTGCTTTGACATGAATATCTTATCAATTAAAAAAAAGTGAATTAGTGAGAGAATAAAATAAAATTAAATTTTAAACAAGAAGTAGATCATTTTACATAAAAGAAAAGTTGTGTGCATGCATCACTAGTATTGATGGAATTCCTCTCATTACTTCATACATATGGTAATTTATTTCTGTTCATATTTTTTCTATTCAGCTTTCATCAAAACAAAATGGCTGAATTTTATCTTTAATATATATGTAGTTATTAAATTTTTATTATAATATTTCATATTTTGATTATTTAATTTTTTTTAAAAATGATCAAAATATCAAGTTTTATCAAATGATAGTCAAAATCTACTTAAAATATTAGTTGACATGAATGTAAAACTTTGACCTTACAACATTATTAAAATTTGATTGTTTATCAAGTATGTATTGATGGTGGGTATATTAGTCACATGTTTGCTACCATAACCATACGTAGAGAAGTGAAAATATTATATTAATATAGAAAATTGTTATGCTAAAATGAGATGTCTTACAGGAAACAAGAGAATCCATAAAAACCACTAACAGAGAAACCACGCCGACAAAATAAACCATGTTCGCCACTCTCGGTCTAGATCCACAGGAGGAACAAAGTATTTACCAAAAAATCTGGAAGGTTTTCAACATGAGCTGTGGCTTGCCATCTTATATATATAAGGTAGCAAAAACCCTAGTTATTTAACTCATCTAACCCGAGTTAAATAACTAGAATTTAATGTGAGATTTGAATTAATACTAAAAATATGTACATTATCTTGCATGACAAAAATATAAAAAAATTCCGCTCTGCCAAGAAACACTGTACTTCTTTGATCTTAATCAAAAGCTCATAATAACATGTAGATATATGTAGATATGAGACATAATTTCTTAATTTCTAATTTCCATGTCTATCTCTAGATCCTAATTTCCAATAGATCCAAGAGAGGATTAATCATAGGCGGAAGAGATACTCATAATCATAATGTTTGTTCGTGTGTAGTAAGTGGCATTTCACTTGTACACATATGATAAATATATCTAAAATTCGGGATGTTTTACCACGATGTTATAGTCAACATGGATTATAAAAATTGATTATTCTAATGGAAGCATATAAATACTTGCATTCCGTCTGTTTCTTCTCATTTCAATAGTGCTGTCACTCTTCCAAGATAGAGTTCATGGATTCTTATGCTTTCGACTTTCTAGAGAACCAGTTTTTAGAACTTTATCGCGCTTTCAAGATTTCCATCTCATTCTCACAGCTGTCATAGTCAGTCTCTTGAAATGTAAAGATAATGGATTCTTCAAAATATATATTTATACTTGAATTTCAATATTCTTATGGAGACTTGATTTTGATCCTCTCTCTGAACATTTGTTCCCGTGATATATCTTCTCATTAGGCAAATGCATAACAGTAGCAATTTTAAAGTCTGCACGATGTTAAATATTGGTTTGATAGCAGCAAGGGGTAGCTTACTAGGGCGTTCCATTAAACTACTAAAGCGGCTAGAAATGAATCACTGTATACAATAACTTCGGTTTATAAGGCCTGTCATTATTACTATTTCATCCTCATACATAAGGTTCAACCAGCGGCCTTCATAAATACAAGGCAAAACGTTGGGATTCGACATGACCAACCCTTCCACCTCCTCCATGCAAATGGAATAAGCAAGCCCCAAGTTACAACAACAAGGAATGGTAAAAGGGTAAACATGGAACATGCACTTACCCCTCCAACCTCTTTCATTAAACCTACCTTTGCTTTTGCGATCATAGAAAACTACACAAGAACCCCTTCACCCACTTCAAACCTCCCCATTAGATTCCAGGCCAAATTCAAATGAAAAATGCATGTCAAATGTAATCAAATGTAAATGAAAAATGAAAGGCGAATGAAATAAATTGATTTTCATTTTTTGTTCAAATTTTATTTATTTATTCATGTTTATGTTCAATATCAATTTTTTCCGGGCAGTGAGATCCACATCCCAAGGCCAGATCCACACACTGAACCCCAAGCAACGCCGAACACGCAGCCCCAACATGCGACTTGGACATGGATACAGTTGTAGTAGACCAACCGAACCGACAGTCACAGTTACCTGCTCCCAGGTGAACGGCTCCTAGAGTCCTGGAGCCCAAACGGAGGAAAAGAACAACAACAGCCTCTGCCGGTGAGGGAGCCAAGGGTCCCCCATGCACACAACGAGGACATCAACAGGCGCGCGGCGGTAGAGCCCCTTTCGTCAACGGGAAGTGGATCGAAGGAATCGACGGGATCGAAGATAGAGTCGATTTGTAGTGGCAGAACTGCCAAACAAGTGAGCCTATATCGTGTGAACAGGACGGTCACTCGTAGCCCTGTAGTGCTTGCCAGCCAGCCAGCCAGAGGGAGCCAACGGCGGTGCCACTTGGCGCCGGGCGCCACTGGCCCAGGATAGGACAGGATCAATATCGGAGACACAATCGAAAGCAAGTGGTACAGTTCACTCCTGGACTTCGGGGCCGGATCTGAAATCTGAGGATTCTGGCCTGATCCAACCAGAATCCTGCCACTTCACTTCCTTCGTTCGCCGTATGAGATTCTGTGAAGACGAGAGGACCATGTCCACGTCCGATTCATCATGGGTTCCCCCTCGTACACCAGTAACTGCTCGCCCTGGCCCCGGCTCGTTCCCACCCAGCACATGTCAGCCTCTGTTTGCTCCGGCCCCAGGGTTGCGCCTGTGGCCAGCCTCACAAAAGCGCCTTCTTCAAGCTCCCCAGCTGTCATAATAAATCAGCTGTGGGCTCCTCAGACTCTCGATGATATTTGTGCTGCTGGACGATTTCTTGCATTCAGTTGCGTTTCGTAATTTAGACAGGGCTGATCTCAGTAACGTGTGTACCCTCATGCCGGTCTTAGAAGTGCACGCCATAGGTAGACTCAGAACACGGGCAGGCAAGATGAAAGTCCGAAACTTCTCACTTGCTTGAAAAGGAGCTCTGCAGAGCTTGGCATTTGTATTATTTGAAGATTTCTTCTAATTCATATTGAGAGCAGATCTCCAGATATCTGCAAGTAAGCCCTTTAACTAGTGTATAGACGTAGGGTTTGCTCGTTCAAGTTACACATGTACGTACGAGAAGCTGGTAAGGCATGAAATTGCTCTCGGTTCCTTATCTCATATTGTTCCAGGCGCCGTTCCGCAGCTCGACTACGGTGGTATAAATACGCTTTTAACTTGCTTTCTCAGCGTCAGAAGGACTAATTTGCAGAGGAGCTCTTTTACGTTCGAACGTTTAGAGTCAAACTACCAGAGCTTCTCCAGATCTTACACCGAAAAGCCCGTCATATTGCCGGTGCTGCACATTTTATGATGATTTTCCTGCGATGGTTTCCAAAAGCAGCTCATTGAACAGCTTGGGGTCATCCCACATCGGCCAATGTGCACACTGCAAGTACAGGCAAATGTGTGTCAGTTACTGGACTTCAGGGCTGGACAAACACGATCAAACGATCTTCGTAGAAGTGAATAATGCAAACCTGAGGAAGATGCACCACTTTCGCATTTAGAGCTGTGTCTTTGGATGGTTCTGCCACAATCGGTAGTAGAAAGCTGTCTTTGTCCCCCCAGAACACCGTCACTGGCGTCTTGACCACTGGCACCTTCTTGTCTGGCAAGTGCCACAGACCCCGTACAGCAGCTCGATAGAATGTTAAACTGCCCTTAATAGCTCCAGGAATTGAGTATGCCGTCACATGCCTGCCATCCAAACCCCAATTTCACCCATCAACGAAAATTCATAATGAGAAAGCAACTCAACTTCGCTCGTTTTGGCCACCGGCTGGTTAGCTCATGAACTTCCGAGAAAGCATGCCTCGGGGCACATCCAGGCTCAGAACCAGGTAGGCCTAAAATTCTTCTTTTACGACAGACGGGGTAAGAAAGACTGACCTTTCAATGTCGGAGGTGGACATGGATGGTATGCAATTTCTGCAAATTTCTCTTAAAATCAGACACCTGCTTGAACAACCGGGCAAAGACTCAGAAGGTTCCTTTCTAATATCATAGCTATCTACGAGGCAAACTGGCGGGTCTTGCAAGCGTCAGCGTTACTTAGGCCTGTGAAAATGTTCTCACGTCCCACTTTGTACCGTACTTTCGTGCATCTTCTGGCATATCTCTAAATGACAACTTTCGTGTTTCGACACTTGGTTTGATCGTTGGTCATTGCTTAAACCGCGAATGCTTTTAACCTAGATGGAGATTTTAACGTGGAACAAACCGGAGGACATTGAATCTCCCGGTTTATGCTCGCAGGCTTCAAGTTGACTGACTGTGTCCAAATGTGAAGGAGTGAGTATATATGGCATTTTAGATGTAAGAAACAATAAGTTTTATAGGTGCGGATGAAATACCGGTCGTATGCGATAGCATGTTCCGCTAGGTGAGGTATCTGGAACGCACCTGCAAGTGACAACAGAAGTTTCGTCTATCGTCAGCTACAACAGCCCGAAAGCCCAAAAGCTCAGCCGATACTGAGCACATTTACAATTATCACAAAGCTGCTGGGTCTGTGAGGAAGGACCCAAGTCTTTTCCACAGCGACAGAACGAACCATGATCAGGCAACTGCCGAGGTCTGTCGACCAGAGAGATGCTCACCTATATACCAACTTCGTAGAAGCTGTGCCGGATTGCTCCTTAGAATCTGGCTGAAGTCCGTGAGGCGGCCCATATTAATTGTCACCAACCTCTCGACTTTGCTCGGATAATCCTCGGCAAAACACCACGAGATTGTAGATCCCCAATCGTGTCCCACCTGTTTCAGAGAGGTAAGCAAGCTTGAGCTCTTGTAAAGCACAGGGCGCTCGAGTCAACATATTGAACGACGAGTTTTGAAGACGTCATAAGCACGAAAAGAGAGAAGGGGATCATAACCCGGCCCCTTGAGGATAATTATTTCTGGTGAACGAAGGTTTGCGTGACCGACAGCTTTCGAACCATACCATGATCGCGGGCTCGCCATTACCGAAAATGTCGATGAAACACACGAAGTCACTCAGAACCTCCGAGCGAACAAACGATTCCAGCTTTTCAGGTTTGGAGGACAGGTTGTAGCCTCTTAAATCCAGGGCAATGACGTGGTATCCAGCTGCAGCCAAGGCCTTGAACTGATGTTTCCACACATACCAGAAGTTGGGCCAACCATGCACCAGTATGACCTGCGCAGCACCACAGCGACAGCCTATCACGCCACGGAAGGTAGGCTTGGAAAGTTGGAGGCCTTAGCAATGACGTCTAGATTAAAAGTCTCTCTTCATTAGATCATTGGATTAAGCAAGATGAAGGTTGAAACGATTCGCCAACGAACCAATTTGCCTGCAGGATCTCCGCACTCAACGAAGTGGATTTTGACGTCTTTGTTGTTCAGATAGCCGTGTTGCACATTAACGCCATCCACAATTTCCTCTTCATGCATTTCCACCTTCGCAGGAATGGCGGGAGGGCCCCGTGCTCTTGGAGTGGACTGGCCTGACGAGGATGCAGATCAAATGAAATATCAGAAGTGGCAGTGGAAGTAGTGCACTCGTATTCCAAAGGCAGACATTGTTCCTCTATCGTTCAGAAGAATGGAGATATCCATATAGTTCAGAGAGCGGCAGAGACATTGCTGTACGAATTTAATGAGTTCACAGTTATTACCAGATACACAACGAATCTTTCTCACTGACGATCTCTCGCCTTGGTGTGTTGATATTTGAAACATGCGCTTAGAAAAACTTCCTTTTGTTTTTCCTGCATTAGCTCCCAAATATCAATGGTCGTATTAGAGGGGTGACTCTTGGGCTGTAGGAGAGATGTTCAGCATGCATTGACGAGGACTTTTCATACTATCCGCCAACGGCCAAGGCTCGAAGTTGCACCTGAGTACATCATTTCTTGCTCAAATAAGAAACTCCGGAGTTTAAACTGACAGTCTTTGACATCTGACGAACTTGAAAGAGTGAAGGTGTGCTTCTAAAGCTTACCGGAGTTTATACTGACAGTCTTTGACATCTGGCGAACTTGAATGAGTGAAGGTGGCATCGTTGCCCGTGGATGCAAATCTACTGTTTTCGATTCTCTCGCGCCTGCATACACACGGTATACTGCTAGGTTCAGAAAACAGATGCTCAATATTTTCAAATTCCGGCATAACAATAAGTATGGAACCGACGGCCGAGTAATTTTTGGCTCATCTTTTCTCCAAGACGAAGACACTAAGCCCGTCTGACAGTCATGAGCCTGTGAAATTACCTTCTAGTCCTCTCTAGTATACAAGGGTATTAGAGACAAGCCGGAAGATGGGGTTCCTCTCTGCGCCTAAACTAAACCGTTTCAACAGGAGTGCGGGGGGTTTTTAAACATGTAAGAGAAATGAACGAGTAACTGGGGGGACTTTGACAGATGAGATCGCAGGCTGGTTGACCTCTTGTACTCTTGTACTGACAGTGAACCATTTCCATGCTTGACAATGAGGTAGTAAAGCGGAGTGTGCCGGCCTAGACGGATATGATCTGGGACTTGGAACATTTCTATTCCCCTCCCAAGCGCCAGATCCGTTCGCCTGAGCAACTCGCGCAGAGAGCAAAAACAGCTCTTCTTGCTGACGGAACATCGTCGTCTCATTTGACTCTCACGAGACTAGGCTCTCGGAGACGGAGAGTGAGACGCCGCCAAAAGGATCCAACTTAACGGAGGACGAGATATGTAAACCACAAGGAGCACGGAAGGTACTCAACAGTTGGGCATGTCACAAGCGAAGGAGATTCACAACAAGGCATAATTGTACAATCAACCGAGCCGCCATGTGTCTGGACGGGCACTGGAAGCTGGGCTTGATGCAAGAGAATTTTACGAAAAACCACATAAACACATGAAAGCCAGCCTCCTTCCACTGAGCCAGGGGCAAGCGGCAAGAAGGTTGGCCTACTTGGACAGAGCGTCTTCCTCCCTGCCACATTCGACATTGTCACCATCGTCGATGCCGCGGCGGCGGCCATTGCTGCTGCTCCTGCTGACAAGCAGACAGACACACAAACAACTTCCTCGCTTCGACTATGCCGCACAGATGACTATGCCGCATAGATGTCGCGCTACAGCAAATGGAGGATTCGAGTCTCGACGAAGCAGTTCCTCCTAAATGCATAAGCGAACCTGGGGCCTCCGTCGCTGCTTTTCCATTGATTGCGTGTATTGCCTGCCTACTGCAGGTATCCTGAATGTACTCCCGAAGGAGTTTTGTTCCTCTAGAAGACTGCAGAGGACCAACCGATTGCAATCGATCGGATCCATTGTTGCCTTTTGTTCCATCTTTAATATTATCTGCAAGCTTGCCCTCTACCACCTGAACCCATCCATGAGCTCAGCAGTTAAACCCCGTCAGAACTCAAGATAGAAGGAAGGAAGGAAGCGAAGTCCAGTGGAGTCAATGCTAGCGTACGCTTCCACCAATGGAGAATCCAGAACGAATAAGCCCAACGGATGTAGCTTCCCACGACCTGCAGTGCAAGCTATCCGTGGATACCGTTTCTCGCCAGTGACATCAGGGCCTTGATTCATACGAATTCGCCGTCAGGACAGACAATCGTAGCTCCTCTCTGCTTGGCCCGATGATCTGGTCACGGAACTGCTCGCTGGTACGACAGCGCCGGGTCAGGCGCAGCACTATCGGGCACGACCTCCACGGGCCCTAATCATAAAGACTCCATGTCCGTGTCCTCACTTGACGGCTGAGGTCCCAGACTCTGTACCATGTCCGTTCTCCAATGGCGTCACTTGCTCTGAATTAAGGAAAGCTTATTGGCTGGCTGGCAGGCTAACCAATGAAAAATAAAAATAAAAATTGAATCTCTGGTGAGAATTGCGAGCAGAAACTCGGCACTTGGTCAACGAGTTGGAGCACGTGAAGTCGAGTACAGTACACCATGCGAGTCCTGACTTAATCTCTGGCGTCTGATTAGAGGGAAATTCAGATACAAAGCTGGCCAGACTGTGCTTCGCTCTTTCGATGAAATCCTCGATTATTCTGGTCGTTTCGACCAGGTGCGTGCGCCGTACTGGTTCTCTACATCGATCGTTTTGCAGCTATGATGGTAAAGCTCACTCTTTCGACCTTTTCATCACAGAGTTCAAAATCACAGAGCTCGAGGAATCTTCCTTGCGGACTCCGCAATACTGAAGGAACATTGGCATCAGGATCGAGGCCGGAGGTGTCAGCAGCCTCAGCCTCTGCCTCTAAATGGAGGCTGCGGGGAAAGGGCATCGCGCGCAGCCGGCGTGTACTCTGGACTGTGGTACGACGGACGGCCCTCGAGGGCTGCCGGGGCCACGTTTTCATTCTACTCGGTTCACGTGATTTGGTTGAGGGACCGGGGCCGTTGTGCTATCAATCGATTGCACCATTCTCATCGGGATTGATTTCCTTTCTCGTAAGTGACGACGCTTTACTTCTTCACCTCCAAGTACGTGGGATGGGGCTTTCATAGGCTGGTTCACGTGATTGAACGATTGCTTGCTTTGAGATATATACTTTTGCCCGATTTAGTACGTAATACCAGCGGCGGCGGGTCCACTTCGCTTTCTCCCTCGGGTCCACCGGGCTCCTCCCTTCGGCCTCATAAGACCAGAAGCCTGCCTGCCTGCCTGCTTAGCTTTTGGTACGGCACCGGCGCACCAAAAGGTAAACAAGCAGGCACCGCCGATTGATTCGATCCACCTCAAATCTTCGATCCAAATCACCGATCGACTGTTATACCAACTTCGCATTTCGCAATGCCCTCGCACTGTGTCGTGCTCGGATATGGTACGCAGCAAATTATAAAGAAATATCGGTACTTGTCTCTGCCGAGCCGTGATACAGAATTCAAACGGTGCACGGTGATAGGATCGAAAAGAGGAATGAGATTTGAATATTTCATGAGCTCTAACTCCGAGACATATGTGAACTCTTCACCACCAATCGTCAATGGAAGGAAGTCGGCGGGGGGAGGGTGGTAGGGGAGTCGTTTCCTTTCTTTCGTTTGGGTTCGGAAAGCTCAAATTCCAAATATTGATTTGTAGTAAATTCAGAGGGCAGCACGATGATGGGCCACATACTGAGTACCCGGGAAAAGGCTCCAATGATGTCAGACCGTCTGGCATGACCGAGAGAAAAAATAATGAGTGAACTTTTACTATACAGCATGTGATTCATCAGCCCCTTCCATTCATCGAGCGTACGAAGGCACAGCGGACGAATGTGAGTGTGTATTCTCTCTAAGTACATGACACATTGACAATGATTGCTGGACAGGCGGAATGGAACAGAGCACAACAGAGAGAGGTCTGGCCCACGCGCCTTGAACAGACTGCTTCGAGCTGAAGCACCGTCTCACCAAAGATTCTGTAGCTGCGCTCGATCGAGATTTGGGTTGTCTCACGTCTGTCTATATATCTATGTATCTATCTATCCATCTCTGTAGAGGTGGAAGATGCGAGACACGATAACAGAAAACCATGGCAAGCGGTCCCATCCGAGTGCCCAATAGGCAAAGGAAGACCGACTTCAAAGGCTAGAGGGGCAACGCATAGGCTCACTCCCCCTCATCTCACTCAATAAGCGTCAGTGGAAACGTAATGAATGCTTCGAGGGTGTTGTCGTGCCCTGTGAAGAATCTCGGGTCGTGGATAAAACAAATGGATGATGGATGGATGGAATCTGAGTGTGTATGCCTGATGATCTCAGAAGACAAAATACAGAGCTTCACGAGAAAGTTTTAGGAGATGTAGTTGGTCGAAGGGCATTACAAGGACATGTAACTTCGCTCGTACCGCTTAAGTAGATATTCTTTGGCACGAGAATTCATTGCGGACATTGGATGCAAGCTCTTCCTGACGTTGTAGCTAGCTCCTAAACATTGTACTTTTTTTTATTGATTTTTCAGTCCTTCGGACCCATATTCGGCTCAAAATCTTTTGATTAATCTCCAAACGAAGAGAAGGACGTAGACTATATTGTCTTTGATTATATCCATTATTCTGATGTATGGATGTGATGCGAATGCTTCCTGTTTACACGGGTACCGAGCAACATAGCAAGAGGATGGACATACCCAACCAAGTCCTACATCGATGAAGCTTTTTCCTTGAATACTAGCGTTGAAGTTACTGCGGCCAACGTCATGTTCTGCCATCTCTCAAAGAATCTCAAAAAAATAATTACAGTTAAATTTCATTGCAGCACAAAGTAGACATAAAGCCATTGATAATTTTTTTTTTATATTCATCATTTTATTGCATTTGCATTCAGTCTGTTTGAACTTAACGGTGCAACTCGTGGCATGGAGCAAACATCCCACCTTGAATGATGAAAAGTTCTGTCTTCACCTCTACAGTATCCTCTAGCTTTGACGAGTCCCAAGCAAGTTGTCCTCATCATTGCTAGAGTTCCTCGAATCTTGAAAGTCCGTCTCACTAGTCGTCATGACCATCTGGGTTGTTTGTATGAAGCATCCATACCTCAAAACTGCAAATACCATATCAACGCTCCAAATGACTGACAACCGTGTGTGCAGCACCACTTCGAATTAGATCACGGGTTTGAAATGAATTCAGGGTTATATTCGGTCGAGTCCATTGTACCAAGAGTGCTCGATATTGTTTCACAACATGGTAACCCAAGATGGCTGGTTCACGATGTAACGAGTAACCAAAGAGTGACTCTGAACAAACTTCCCTAAACAACACTATGGTTCTTGATTATACTCGAGTTACATGTGCTTCTATTTACTACTCATAAAACCGATATAGAGGCTATGAGTATATCTAATCTTGGATGGGCAAAGATGATAATTGTATAATAGTATACAGATTTATAGATCTTAATTTATATTCATGTATGGGTTTTTTATTGAAACATACTGTTGAGAAAATACAAAGTTTATTAAACATATTACAGAAATACGATTCTCTTTAGGTTATTGGTTATTATGTAATTTGAAAATATTTCCAATACTTCATAGATCTGACACAGTATATTCATATCGTACTAACGGGAATAACTTTGTGTATGCTTGGTGATGGAATTTTTATCATCATGATACTAGGGCGATAACTTCATGGATGGTTGATGATGTCTTCCTTTTGTTATTTGTTCGGGTGCATTTTTGTATCCGAACACGGTCAATCTTTCTGGATACTCTTAGATGAAAGCTGCTGCGTATAATCAAGACAAGAAATGTCAGGCGCTTGAGGATTGTCTCCTTCATGGCTCCACCTGGGACTCGCATCACGTAACACTGACAAGCATTCAATGAAAATCTACCAATTGCCATCACGTCGTTCTCAAGCCTCGTCATAAATATATCCTCTAGATCATGCACACACTCTGTAACCCTGTATAGAGGGTGCGTTTTAAGCATTTCCTGTCAACAAGAATCTCTCCGTGTTCTTAAACGTACGGTTATGTCCGGGGACACAACCATGTGGCTTGCAAATTGCTGGTCATGTACTATCGTTCCTAAATAAAGCTTTTTCTGACCTTGAAGTTTCCAACTATCTTCCACCTGCCAAACTCGATGTCCACGTGGAAGAGGAAGGAGATGTAAACATCAAGCAAAGTGATGGTGACTCTCAAATTATGCTAACAAATTAGAGAACTTATCGTGAGTTCCTACTTGTATTTTAGCCCAATCGGTGGAACAATGTCAAACAGTGTGTGTTTACCGTGTTATGATTATCAAACATTGAAAATAATCATAATCATACTTGGAGATTTTGCTCATGATTCATACTTTTTTGGAAAAACTATAGAACACCAACGGACTCAGGTTTAAGATTCCAAACAAAGCCGGCAAAGAAGCATGTAGATAATGTTATTTTTATTCATGAGATATGAAATTTTTGAATGAAGATCATTGGAAGCCTGTGAAGGAGTAAGATTAATAAGTATAATAAGAATCAATTTTGTTCACTTGAAATTGAAAACTTTTTTTCGTTTGATTCTTTTAATAAAAAGCATAGAAATTCAGAAGTTAATGAATTATAGAATGCTCTATAATTTATAAAATACATTCTCATAAAGAATTTTCATTCTTATAAATTGTATCGAAGAAGAAAACATAAAATCTAAGAATGTGATCTTAACAGATTTAACAGATCTGTGATTGAATAATAAATAGTGAAACTAAAAAACGGAAATGTTTAAGAATGAAGAAAATGCGATCTAATCACGAATAAATTAGTAAACTAGTAATTTAAATAATATTTTGAATGATTATCGCAAATGGAAATTCGGCTTTGTGAATATATCTTTGATATATTTTAGAATATATCAAAGAAATTAAGTAAATTTTAATACTGTTTTGGGATACAAGAACTGAAGAAATTTAGTTTCTGCTCAATGAAATGAAACTGGATTACTTTAGAAGATAAAGCTTCAAGTTGATGATCAAGCACTCAAGTATTGAGTTACATTCAATGCCACAATGATAAAATTATGAAGAGCACAGTATTAAATAACATTCATATATGGTCAACTGACCAAATGTCTAGATTTTTTATATAAATTTTTCTTTTTTTAAACTTGGAGTTAAGACAAGAATCTATCTTTTACTCATGAACTGAACTTGAGTGTACATCTATGTGATAGTTCAACAAATTTCATATTCACTTTCTGTGAATGAGTGCATTTTTTAAATCATGAATATTTACCTTTATGTACATGAGGTTTCACTTTTGTCAATACATCTGCATGTGTGAGTGTTGGACTACTTTAAATGCAGCATATTTTTATGTTTTTTTCCAGGGTTGAGAACATATCCATGATTTCAATAATAAGGTGATGAAAACATAAATTTCTCACATTAAGGAAACGCTGAATTCGATACATGATTGATTCAAGACTATTCTTAATATGATGTAAACAAATATATATATATATATATATATTAGTTTCAGAAAAATTTATCATTCACGTTGTACGCAAAGCAACAATAACCGAGTTATTCATTACAAGGATACATAGTAATATGATTGTTACTCATTTTTTTGAATTATATAAAGATATGGATCTAAATCTTTGACATATTTGTGATTAAGAATAACAGAATTATATATTACATAAAAAAAAAATCCTTGACATTTTATAAAGCTTATTTCGAACATATTGGTTATTTTGCTATACAAAGATGGATAAATCAGTGCTACACATAGTAAAAGAGTCATGTTATGATTGTATCACACATAAACGGTGCTTATGTTGTTTACCTTTTCAGAGTTTTCATTTCTCAGTTGTTGCTTGTCATAATATCATTGTGAGATTATTCAATATTTTAAGCTTTATGGATTTCTTACACCAAGTAATCATGTACATGTTTTTGTCATAAATAGTATCTTTTTGGATCTAAATCTTATAAATAGTTATTAATTTGATAGGATGTCAAATTAAGATTAAACATTTCAAATATGAGTTAGATCATTACCATTCATGTGAAGTTTAGCTTCTTGGTTATACATATTGATTTTCGATAAATATATTACTTCTGTACATTTGCGCTGTAGTGGAATGCAGAATTCAACAAAATCATGGATTTAATTTAGTTTAGTTTTTCGTAATCAAAAATTTCATTCAGATATGTTGAAATGATAACAATCATACTTGTTTTCATCATATTTATACGTTTTTACTTTAGAAATCCAGATTTTTTTATTCATATTTCTCTTTAACATCTAGAATGTGTCATACTTGCTAGTTTTCAGTACACATATACATGGAAAACATGATTGATATATATATATATATATATACATACATACATATATGAAAATGTTAAAAAGACCACATCAAATGTAAAAATGACATGTCAAAAACAAGTTTTTTTTGCCTCGAGAATGAACTTGCGAGAGAGTTGGTCAATCCTCTGTTCGAGGGCAATGGCTATGTCCATGGAAGTATCATCTCTGACAATGTTTTTTGCACATGAAGGAGGGGAATCCAAAAACACACTCTCAGTTGATACTTGGACTTGTGTGAGAAAAAAATTTGTTTTGACAGTCATGTGACCGTGAGACGCGTTTCTGGTTTCATGTGACCGTGAGACGCGTTTCTGGTTTCAGTGTGATAGTTTTAACATTACCGTAATAAATATATACAAAACAATTTACGTTACGGAAGGCTGATGAAGTTGTAAATCCGCATCCGACTGAAAGAAGTTTATAAATCCGCATTGGCTTAAATGTACGTTTGAAATGTATTTCGGAGATGTGTTAGGTGTACTAGGTCAAGGTACTTATCTGCTAACATTTGAAAACCATATTGACATAAAATGTAGCCGTTTCTTCAAATTGTTGACCAACCTGATGGTATGATACTAAACCAGAGAAAAAAATGTGAAGATTAATCCCGATGATATCGTAATGATCTTTATATAAATTTAGCGATCTTAGATGTTTACTTAAGTATATTTTTATCTATAATAAGTTTGATACATTATATAAACACGGATGTGATTATTAGTGGTAATCAAATTGTAAGTTATATTCTTAAAAAATTCTAAAATTAAATTTAATAGCATGATAGATCTAAATTTTAAAATTCATATAATAATAAGAACACGAAAGGGAGAGAAGACACTTATTTCTCAGCCATTTCGGCAAAGAGTGTACTTCAAACACTCTACCAAAGAGAGAGTCATTTTAGATTCATTTGCAAATTGTGTCATGGGTAACATCTTATTTTGAAATGTTCTTTCATTTCTGAAAATTATCCATTAAAGAATCATTTGGATACTGATTAGCTAATCAGCAAGGAGTTTAGTATACTTTGAGAGAATATAATATACATGTGAATTCAAGATGGAAAAATTATAAACCATGATTTGTTAATTATTAAACAGATGAATGAAATTTCTGGTTAAATCAATACAAGAAATAGGATCACTGATTCAAGATTTTTTGTATTGTATCATTGAAAATAATTTTGGAACATTATTTCGAATGTACGTTTCTTTATTTGAAATTCGTACAGGAGATAAATTTGTAAACTTTGATAGTTTCCGATGCTTTTAATACACTCTATTTACACATCATGTTGCTCGGATGTATTAACTCATATGCACATATGACATGTCTGTAGAATATTTCAACCATATAATAAATAATTGAGATATGCACTCTAATTACTATTGATATTTAAAATACTCCAATAATAATCATTTTGCAAAATACCGTGTGTAATTAAGTGTAAGATTCATTTCATATGTATTTATGACATGTTAATAAATTTGTTCATCACTTTTCAGTATCGACGAAATGTGTTTCTCATTTATTACCACATTAAGAAAAGAATTTCATATGTTTAAATTTCAAGTTTTCCTTCTCGGGAAAGTTTAAAAATATCTAAGATGATCATTATCTGCATTAAAGATTTCCTTTTATACGAGAGTGAAGAGGAAAAAACGAAATCAATCACATTATCATGTCAGAATCTATCGGCTTTCTCAAGTGCTCAAGGCGTATTTCAATGACATCGTAATTATGTACACATGGAAATGTAGAGTCTAGAGCCGCAGGCAGTAAAGTTGGCTCTTCATACACAAAAAAGGCAATTCTTTGGAGCGATATGTGTTCGTTCGGAGCCAACGCCGATACTCTGACGTCTTGACAAACAAGCCGGACAAGCGAACAGAGAGAGCCCCAGGGAGAAGCACGGCGTGCTCTCACACAGATGATCCACTGTGGACGAGGAAGAGACTGCGCGAGGACGAGGGTCTTCCATGGCAAACAAAACCGTAGTGGTTGATGACAGTTCACCGAGTCTATCCGGAACCATGCACACACGGAGAGTTCTCGTGAGAGTGAGACTGCGCCAGGCCTGGATGCCAAAGGGCGCCCCATGCAGGACCGATTTCAGACGAGGAAAAGAGCTTGGCGATGCGGACACTGGACACTGGACAAAGGACATATTCATACTTTACATACAGAGCTGTGTTGGCAGAGCGCAAAAAGGTTGCGCGGCACAGTCTTCCAGTATCACCCTATCCCGAGGACCAATTCCGCTGAATGGGACTCGATTGATATTTCGCTTCAATGGTGCGCAGCACGCCACATCGTCACGAGATCACCGAAAAGCGCTCGAGCGGTGGGATTTCGGGCGAATCTTCGGGCCACGTGGCGGGCGGCGGTTGCCCGAGAGGCAGCAGAGAGAATCAGGAGGAGCCGCGCACGTACGAAAAGATTCCCTCCCATTTTATGGGAAGGGGCCGCGGACATGTGCTGGAGGACAGCCCGCTGTTAGCAGCAGGGGGGCATAAAATAACAGCGAGTGCAAAGCGGTCACGGCCAGCAGCAGCGCGGGCGGGGCCGTAGTTCGGCCAGAGGGGCGGTCTTATCTGGCCGCGGCGAGAAGGCGCAGTCAGATAAGAGCTCTTGAAGAGGGGACGGGGCCTAATCGGCCTCTAGTTTTATCGTTGACCTGAACCCGGCTCCAGCCCCCGTCGCCCCTCCGTCGACGATTCCCTCCGTCTCGCTCTCATATGCCCGGATTATAAATCGCTCCGCTACGCTGCACGGAGTTATATGTATCCATGCCATACGATGCTCTCTCTCGCTCTCACGGTCCCCAACCCCTCTGTCTCTCTATTTCCTCTCTCTCCCTCTCTCTCTCTCTCTCTCTCGAGACGACGACGAGCTTCCTCGGACACAGTCTACATCGCTTTTGCTGTTGCTATTGTTATTGCTATTGCTGTCTTTCTCTCCATCTATCTATCTCCCTCTCTATCCATGCCTGCTTGCTTGATTGACTGTCCGCCTGTCCGTCCGTCCGCCTGCTGTCTGCCTGCCTGCCTCGTTCGCCGCAGCACCAGCAGCGCAGCCGAGTCCCGGAATCGCAGGAGAATCATCCTGAGTATGTGCATCTAAAGCCAGTGAAGTCTGGCGAGGAGGTGCTTGAGATCTGCTCTTGTTTTATATCACATTCCGATCTGGTCACTCGAGTACTCTTTCAAGAGAGGGGAGGGGAGGGGAGGGTTGGAGAGGAGACTACAAGAAGAGGGAAGGGAGACGAAATCTGATGAAGCAGTCATCCACTCATTGTCAATCAGATCCAATCGTGGTGCCCGTCGGTCTGGTCTGTAGCTCTAAGGTCTCGGTGTAATGAGTGAGTGAGAGAGCGAGCGTGTGTGTTACTGAGTGAATGAACCTCTAGTGAGTATCGGGAAGCAGCACACGGCTCAGGTTCACTTGGACGTGTGTGTATGGTGTCTGAGTGCTTGACTGCAAGATGGGCAGTTGACTTTGGATAACACGATATCCAATGCCATCTTCCGATCTTGCACTCAAGCACTTAGGCACATGTGACTTGATCATGATGAATATTGAACAAGCGTGTCTGATTTCTGGGATGGTAGATTGTTCCAGGATCTCGCCTGAGTTTCAGTCAATGGGGATCTTTGCTCAGCTTATAGCAGGCTGTGATGGCCGTCTGGTCCAAGTCTAGGAGATGAGCTTAGGTTGTTTCTCAGCTGGACGAAGATCATCCGGTCAGATGTTTATATGTACACTACTGCGTGTTACCATCAGGTAGATGCACATGCATGCAAGCTTCTCGATGCAGGTGCACTTATAGTTGTCTTTGAGCACGAGGTTGCCCAGGTTAACTTCTTCATTCCACTGGAAGTCAGACCAGGCATTGATGCAACTGGGGTCTCTCTCTATTCCTCTCGGGTCACACATAAACAGGGGTGAGCCGGAGGCATTGAGGCAGATTTGTAGGTCTTCCTTCTGACTGGAACCGCTTTGCTGTTTCGATCCTTGACTCTTGCGGAATGCATCAAACGAGCGGAGCCTGGTCTGGTACTGTCACTCTCAAAACTCATCAGGAGAGATCCGTTATTGAGGAGTTAATATATTAAAAGGAACTGATCAGAGTGCACTTCTTGCCTTGAATAGGCCTCGAGGTTTCACTTTTCGGTTGATGGCTTTGCAAGCACTGCGAGACACAACGAGGGCTCAATTATACGTCCGAGCGTGTACTTTGTAATGGTGTGGGCAGTAGCTTATTCTGCGCAGGTATATAAGTTCAGCAGACCTCGGAGTATCATGTACATCTGCCGATGCTCCGACTGAAGATTTTGGGACTGCGATCTCTCGAAAGGTGGCTCGAACACGTCTCGTTCACACCACTCTCCCTCGTCCATTGTAAGTATCAGTGCATTGCAAAGTGGCTTGGGTTATGGTAGATTTTTCCTTTTTTCTTCCCTCACGAGTGTGTGAAGTTCCACTGCTAATGCTGGTGGAAATGATGGTGCAAGGTTCTGTTCCTCAGCAGATGCCTTGCATCTCACTCCGCCTCGTGTTCGGATGGTTTCAGCTTGTTTGAATTAATGTAGCCATCAGGATTGTAAGCGAGTCAGTTGGTTCGATCGATCGCTCAGGATGCATCTGACCAGGTACCTGGAAACGTGGGTTGATCTGATGAGGTAGATGACGACGAAGCAAACACGTCAATGGGCAAAGCCAAGCCTATGGACAAATGTCGAGCTCGTTATGGACTTAGAATGTGAGTTTGAAGGAAATGAAGACTATCACAGTGCATCAGAAAAGTTCTCCGTCTTCTGAGTCTGAAGGCTCCACTTCACAACACCAGACGTACGAGAAGCCCCTTCAGTATACTTCTGATGACGCAGTTGTACTGATATCGATGTGACAGCTTCCCAACATTGAAAAAATATGAAGTGGTCATCGTAACGAGACCACTTCATCTTCGTTTCTGGTGTCAGACCATTTGCGTGATATCCATCAAAGCTCAGCTTCACTCCTCTTCAACTGAATTCTCCGCAGAGATGATAACAGCAGGCTGCTATGTCGGGGCGTTGATGGTATGGATGCGGCCAGGATCACAGCAGCCGTCTGCTCACGGATGATAACACAAAGGGATCTCCGTCCCCGGATGTCGAGACAAACGAAAGAGGGAAGCACACTTTATATAGAGGTATGAATGAATGGGAGTATACATGACCAGGGACCACAAGATCCGAGCCCTGAGTCCAGACCTAATGAGGCCTGCAATGCTTCGAGTACAATGTAACTTGTGCTATTTTTAAGATCACGTTTAAAGTTTGTGGACGAGTGCCGTGTCTGTGTGTGTGTCTGTAAGTATATACTCGCCCTTACTGCGTTGCCTTCGTCGCCGAGTTATGACACCGCCCGACGAGTGCTGATCTCAAACCGACGACGTTCTGAGTCGAACTGCGGCACAAGTACCTTCATGACTGTGAACTGTATGTTCCCCCTTGCGTATACTTTCGTCCGAGTCCCAACGTGAAAAGCCTAAATCCTTGTCACAGCTTGCTCGGCTCGATAAAATACCCCTTGTGTATACTTTCGTCCGAGTCCCAACCTGAAAAGCCAAAATCCTTGACAAAGCTTGCTTGTTTCGTTAAAATACGTACCATTCCATTCCAAGTTCTCAAGTTGTAGCAGTCAAAGAGTAAAGCAAATCATAGTTTCGGGAGTTTGTAGCGAATGAGAAGATTTGAAGTCAAGTTGTAGCCGATAAAAGTAAATTATAGTTTCGATACTTTGTAACAAACTATATGTTTTGAATTTAAAGGCAAGCAAGTCTGTAACTTTATAATTGAAACATAATAATTTATTTAATGCAAAAATAATATTAAAATATAAAAAAGTTACAGTCTTGTTTACCTTTATTTGTCGTATGATATAAAAATATTATCAGGTCAAACTATAACAGAATCACACTAATCATTGAAGTATAGGGAAATGTGTATAACGGTCTTACATTGGCCGTTGATAATGAATTCAAATCTTCAATTGAGATTCTTCATTGGTACTGTAGATAAGTATGCTTCGAACAACGTAAGTACCTTGCATGGGAGAATTTTGAGATCTCGATAATGACAATTGAAAACAATTGGATCTGAAAATCTTCAATTTCTATAGAATACTTGCAATATCCGACTTGATGTACGATATGATATTTATATATATGATATATATATATATATATATAAAGAATATGCATGGGATAAAAAGAAAAAGAACCTAAACTGTTTTAAATTGAACAAAGCAATGAAAACAAAGAAATAGTTTCATAATATCTTAGAATAGGTGTCATACTCAAACTCTAATCATAATCATGATTTATCTTCATACATCCACATCTCCAAAACTAATGATTATCAATTTTGTAAAACAAAAAAGATCAGGTATTCTACAAGATGAACATTGCAAGTCTTACCAAAATTTTATATTTATGAGTGTGATAGATATTTCTAATTCTTCGTAGTTCTAATTTTCTTTAAACAAACAACATCTAATGAAAGACTTCTTCACATAACGGATGAATAATCCATGCTCAACTATTGCAAAATGTATAAAATAAATACATCTAACAATGAGCTATATAATATACCTTCTTGTTTTGACTTTTGAAAAAATTAGCAACAATATTTTCATGTGATGATCACATGGACAACAATAATATGACAGGATATTTTTAAAAATGAAATTCTATTGACATTGTTGTTTTTTATCTGTTCATTTTGCATAACTATATTCTTCATGTGTAATTCAAATCTTTTAGTATATAATCAATTCTAGCAAAACATATTTCTAAAAATGACTTGTGGGATTATGATCTACATACATGAATATGCAAATATATTCATCCACTTTAGTATCTCAAGTTTTTATTATTATAAAATCAAAGATATTAAAACTATATAAATTTAGGGGATATTAGAGATCCTTATCAACTCTAGTTAGTTTAATCTAGTAGGTGAATTTCATGAACTGACCACTATATAATTAAATGGTCTAATTCTTAATGACACAATTATGATTTTTAATACAAGAATAAAATATATATGTAGACGTAGCCTCAAGAGGATGAATCATATGTTATTTTCTTATTCATTATATATAATTAATCACTTGCAATTGTTACCAAAGTCAAGGAAGTAAGTATAAATTTCATTTTTTGGTACAAAAAGCAGTTGACTTTTGACATTCCAAGTTGTATAATGGTCAACAACTAATTTCCAGGTCGTTAAGACTATTGGTTTCTAATGTGAAGTCCAAGATGTGATGAGATTTTCTTCACTCCGCTTCAGATCAAGCATTGTTTATTCCGTCAAAGAAAAATGATGGTCCTTGTGCTCTAATTTTTTTACAAATAACAATGAAGTAAAATTATTTGTCTATATTTTAATGCAGATTGAATGCAGGTAGATTAATAATATATATCAATTCAGATTTTGTTAACAGTTCATAAAAATCACATCTTTGATCCATTGGCAACAAAGAACGTCATATCTATGTTGATTTCAAGTACTATGAGGTGACCAGTCTTTCTTGAACTTGACAGTCAAGAGCAATTATGAGAGCATCATTGGCAAGGATATAAAATATATCGAGGTTAGATGCTAAAAGAAGTTGCAGAAAAGTAAATTTGACTTTACTGCTTTGACGACTAAGACCCAAGTTGAGTCTTGTTAGGAGCATATCACATCAATTACCCTTTGATCTCAACACAATCTTGAACAAATGATAATGATACCCAAGTTTGTAGAGCTTGAAATTGAATATGAATCTAAGAATAAAGTTTAGATCATAAAAGTTCATTGATAAAAAGCTTATGAAATTTTTTATCTCCCGAGTCATCACCATACCTTCGTTTAAACCAAAGAAAATTTCTGCAGATTTCGTGTTTGATTTAAGCTAGAGCACAATATTTCATTTTAGAATTTTGTAGGTTGGATGTTATGTTCAAGTAAAATACAAGCTTAAAGTTCATGATTTTGAAAAATTAGTGTTATATAAATTGATATTAATATCAAGATGCACATAATGATATGCAAAAAAATTGTTGTAAACAATTTTTTTTCAAATCTACAACCCTCGTGTAATAAACAAATTGACTAAATGCAAGAAGTACTTTAACTTTTTAAGTAAACTTTAAAAGAATATCACAAGAAAAAGCTCTTACATTAACTCTTTATGTATTGAAAATATTGAATTTTAACATGAAGATTAAAAGAAAAAAAAATCATAATGTTGTTTTCAATAATCTTGTTATGGACTTGTGAAATCTTGATGAGATATTGAATGTTGTGATTTTTTTCTTTTTATTCTTATATTGCCTAAACTTTAAATTTTTTAAAGTTTAGGCAATATAAGTTTATACTTAATATCATCAATGTGAATCTTTTTCACTTGCAATATTTAATTATAAATGAACAAATGATTGACAATGTTCAATTGACTTCAACATATTATGATGTTACCATCTAAAGCATTGATTATAACAAACACAGCGTTGAATGTAAATT